ATTTGAAAGAGCTCGTGAAGCACTTTCAGAATCAGTAACTAGTTTTTCGATATCTTGTATAGTTTAGAAATAATCGAGTGAGATCACTTATGGTTCCATATGTATAACCACCCTGTATAATCCGGCTGTATCTCCAGGTCACCTAGATACATTCCATAGCAGGTGTAATAGACATTTAGGTACATACATTTACCAATTTTGGTGATAAATAGGTATTTTGTATTCGTTTTTGTATAACGCCTGAACAAAAACAAAGGGTAATATTTTGGTGTTATACATAGATTTCGAATATAAAAAATATATAATTTAACTAATTAAGACATGACAAAAAAACTGAGGTATGTCTCGTTTCTGTCGGGTCTGGGTTTTTTTTGTATGGGGCGTGACCGTTCTTCTTTGACTGTAACTTTGATGATAACCGGTGTTTTTTGTACGAAGTGTGACAGATTTTTGACGTTTGTCAAAGTTAAAGTAAGATGGTGCAACCCAGCCTTAAACAAGCATCGTTTGTGAATACGGGCGTTAGATTAATTAAGATTTATTTGTTTCAGCGGTCAAACATAATTATGAAAATGTCACCCCACCATATCACGCTTACTATTTGGCGAGCTGAGCAGAACCAGGCGCTAACCAAGGTAGGATTTTTAGAATATTCTTGTAATTGTCACTTTGTGCAATGGCTAAGTCTAGGTAATTGTTCAAAGTTTGTTTAGAAGGACAAATCAGGCTGATATCAACCTGAGTGTCCGAAAAGAATATAGGCACGTTAAAGCGTTGTTTTCTGTAAACCATAATAATAATAATAATAATAAAATCATTTATTTGCAAGAACATGGTTAGATTGGTGTTAATTTAGTTAATTCCAGCATATTCTGTCGCATGCGACGTGCAAAAGTTTTTGTTCTTAAAGTTATGTTAATAGTTATTGCTACATTTGGTCTTAGATTTTACATATTTTTACAACTCAAAATACTTATTTTACTCATAGTTGTTTTTCATTACCATGATAGTAACAAGTAACAATACAATAAATACATGTCAGGGAACAAAATTTGAATTGCAAATGTCAAAGAAATTTAAATTAATTGTAAGATGTCAAATTAAGTTACATTACCGATGTCACATCATTCTATCATTTAAAAAGTCATTCACTGTATAATACATTTTAATTAACAAAAAGTCAAAAACTGCACTTTTAAATTTGGTAAAGGTTAACATTTTTACATTGTTTGGTAATTTATTAAATATTCGTATAGCCATACAATAACAGTTTTTGGAATACAGTGTCAATCTTTGAGGTGGGATTGATAAGTTGTCTGCCTTCCTACCTCTATAGCCATAAGTTTTATTTGTCTCAAATAAATGGGTATATCTCTTGACAAACATTGCCATCTCAAAGATGTATAAGCATGGAAGTGGCAATATGTTTAGATCTTTAAACAATGGCTTGCAACTGTCTAAATAATGTGCTCCGCAAATCGCTCTAATGCACTTTTTTTGTGCTCTAAAGGCTACAGGCATATCGACTGAGTTTCCCCACAATATAAGGCCATATCGTAATATTGATGAAACATATCCATGATAAGCCATAAGAGCTGCGCTTTTAGATGCTGCTTGTCTAAGTCTATTAAGAGCATAAACAAATCTGTCAATTTTATTTACTAGTAAGTCAATATGAGCTTTCCAATTACAGAATTTGTCTATAGTTATACCTAAGAATTTTGTCGAAGTCACATTATCTACATTATTGTTAACATTTTTACATTGTTTGGTAATTTATTAAATATTCGTATAGCCATACAATAACAGTTTTTGGAATACAGTGTCAATCTTTGAGGTGGGATTGATAAGTTGTCTGCCTTCCTACCTCTATAGCCATAAGTTTTATTTGTCTCAAATAAATGGGTATATCTCTTGACAAACATTGCCATCTCAAAGATGTATAAGCATGGAAGTGGCAATATGTTTAGATCTTTAAACAATGGCTTGCAACTGTCTAAATAATGTGCTCCGCAAATCGCTCTAATGCACTTTTTTTGTGCTCTAAAGGCTACAGGCATATCGACTGAGTTTCCCCACAATATAAGGCCATATCGTAATATTGATGAAACATATCCATGATAAGCCATAAGAGCTGCGCTTTTAGATGCTGCTTGTCTAAGTCTATTAAGAGCATAAACAAATCTGTCAATTTTATTTACTAGTAAGTCAATATGAGCTTTCCAATTACAGAATTTGTCTATAGTTATACCTAAGAATTTTGTCGAAGTCACATTATCTACATTATTATTCATATGATTTATGTCAAGTTGTACATTATTTTCATTGAATTTAGCTTCAAATTTAATATACTTTGTTTTACTAACATTAAGGTTCAAATTGTTACATTCCAACCATTCAACAATTTTTTTTAGATTGGCATTTGCCATGAGGGACAATTCTTCCTTCTTTTTACATTTTATGATGAGAGTAGTATCATCCGCAAAAAGTACACACTGTTGCTCTGTGATATTTGGCAGGTCATTAATGTAGAGCAAAAACAATAATGGTCCTAAAACACTGCCTTGCGGGACACCACAGCGATTATATCTGTAAGATGATGTAAATGTTTTTTTAATGTTTGAAGATAACTTGGATATTTTAACACATTGTTGACGGTTTGATAAATAGCTTTCTATCCATGACAAAGCCGGCCCTCGAATACCGTATCTGTCCAATTTATTAAGAAGCCGTTTATGGCACACAAAATCAAATGCTTTGCTCATATCCAGAAATATGGCTAGTGTATGCATTGCGTTATTTAAGTTTTGTGTCACTTCTTTAATTAATTGAAAGGAGGCAAGTGTTGTTGAGCTATTTTTACGAAAACCAAATTGTTCATCTTTTAATAATTTTTCAAATGAAATAAATGTAGATATTTTCTGATGCATAACCTTTTCAAATACTTTAGATAGTATAGGTATTAATGTAATAGGTCGGTAGTTACCGAGTTCTTCATGGGGCCCATTCTTGTGTAAAGGTTTCACAATTGAAAATTTTAATTCAGTTGGAAACTGGCCTTGTACGAGAGAAAGGTTTATTATATGAGCCAAAGGGGTGGAGATAAAAACAGCACTTTTCTTTAAAATGTCAGTGTTGATGTCGTCATAACCTGTAGAATATGTATTTCTTAGTCCTTTTATTATTTTGTATATGTCATTTTCATTAATAGGTGTCAAATAAATACTGTTATGATGGAATGATATATTATGGGCTGAATGTCCGGAATTTATTTCTTTGTCAGTTTTTGGTATGCTTTTATTTGTCATGTCTATAAAATACTTATTGAATTCGTCACATATTTCATTAGGATTGTCAATATAGTTATTATTTCCAATTTTTATTTTTTTAATGTCTTTTTTTGAGTCTATATTTTGCGTGTATTTTTTTAAAATATCCCATGTAGTTTTGCAAACATTCTTTGAGTTTTTGATGTAACGTGTATTTGTGTTTTTTTGTGCTTGGAGTATACATTGCTTTAATACTTTTGTGTAGCGCTGGTAATATTTTCTTTTTCTAATTTTGTTGGAAGAAGAAAGCCGATATTTAAGATAAAGCTGTCTTTTGTAAATACAGCATCGTTTAATACCTCTTGTTAGCCAATTATTTTTCATAGGTTTGTTGACTATTTTTACTTTTATGGTTGGGAAACACAAGTTAAAAAATAAACTAATTAGGTCATGAAAATATTTAAATGCTTTATCAGTATCGTTTTCTTGAAGTACTTCAAGGAACGATAATGCTGAAATACAATTTATGAATTTTTTTACGTTTTCTTCACACATGTCACGCCTATATTCAATCCATGAGTTGATTTTTTTCTGATAATTTGTATTCAAGTCCAGCTCAAAAGTAATGCTTTGACCTGTCTCATGATCAGACAAACAAAGATAATGCAATTTCGGTTCAACTTGTTGATTTATGTTGCTTGTTATTAGGTCTAAGCATGCATTCTTACGTGTTGGGATATTTATATGATTTTTTATATTATAATTACTTAGCAAACTATTCAAATCTTTACTGTACTTATTGTTCTGAGTCATATCTATATTCCAATCCCCACATAATACAATTTTTTTATTACGTTTTTTCGATAGCATATAAAGAAGAGACTGTAATTGTTGAAAGAAAACGTCTAGTTTAGAATTAGGCGTTCTATATATGCAGACTAATATGAGATTATAGAGCAAAATTTCTACAGCACAACACTCAAATGTGTACGGCTTAGCTTGAGAGATATCAATTTTTTTGTAATCCAAGTCACTTTTTATCATTATGCAAGTACCACCTCTACGCTCATTCCTACAGAACGATGCGGCAAGTTTAAAATTGCTGATATTTAAATTTTTTTCAGAACCTTTCTTCATAAAAGTTTCCGAAAAACAAATAAAATCAACAGAACCCAGTTCTTTTTTTAACTCAAGTAATGCTACCTCGAATAGATCTTGCTTGCTGAGAATGCTAGCTATATTCTGATGAAACAATATCAATTTATTTGTCATTGGAACGAAAAAGCTCACTGTCACCTAGCTCGCTTGAGTTTTGTTTTTGTTTTATAAAGTATGACGGTATTATTGTTTNATGTCACGCCTATATTCAATCCATGAGTTGATTTTTTTAGTTTAGTTTGTATAGGGCGTAAGAGTACTGGTTTAGTTTTTTACAAATAACATCAATGTGAGTCTTCCAGGTTAAGTTACTGTCTAACCAAATGCCTAAAAATTTTGTGGTGTCAGTTTCATTAATCTTTTTATTGTCAAATAGAATGTCAATGTTAGTTGAATTCGAATGATTTTTAAATGTCATTAAATTTGTCTTATCTAAATTTATATTAATATTATTCAGTGTCAGCCAGTTTACTATGTCTTTTAGAGTTTTTACGATTTCCGATTTAAGCGAGTCTACATCATCATTTTTCATGAATAATATAGTGCTGTCGTCTGCAAACAATGTCATAGGATATGGGGATATTTTTGGTAAGTCGTTCACATATACCAGAAACAGTAGAGTAAGACTATAAACACTTTTTATTAAATATCTCCGAACAGCGTAGAGTGGATTTATCCGAGTTTGAAGTTAAGCGACACAATTATAAAGTCTAAGTGAGCTGCCACACTGGCGGATTGCAAGCGTTTTCCGTGCATCGCCGCTCCGCTTTGAAAATGCTTATAATCCGCCAGTGTAGCAAGGCCCTAAAGGAGATCTGAATTTCGCTCCCATATCCCAGGCACTGACTGATTAATCGCTAGATTATAGTACTTTATCAGGCTGCAAAAATTATGCCAATTAGCAACTGATTTTCCTGTCGTTTTCCAGTCGGCATCAAACGCGACGCTGCGGCCGCCCGTACCGCGCGCGCTGGGCAAGTGCGTGTCGGCCAGCCACCTGGCGCGCCGCACGGTCACCGTGACCAGCCTCAGCCGCAGCCAGCACGCACTGCACGCGCCCGCGTACATCCTGCGCGCCGCCGGCGCACACATCGACATCACCGAGGTGACCACTACTTAGCCAGCCCTATAAAAATATGTGCAGGATGAACCTGATGAACGGCCTGAGCCGAGGTCCGAGCCGTGGATTATTTTTGAAAATTCGAATCCTATCTTGCGTCCCCCTAGAACTATCAATAAATACAAAATTAAAATACCTCAATGTCGCACAACAATGTATAGAGACAGCCCATATTGCACTGCAATAAGAATATTCAACAAACTACCAATAGTATTAAGAAAAGAAACAAATAAAAAAATATTCCTCAGAGATCTAAAGGACCTACTAATAAAAAAATGCTACTACAGCCCAAACGAGTACTTCAATGACTTAAACTTAAATTAAAAATATTATTGTGTCCGTTACACGTTGATTACTAAATCAATCATTTAATTGCTAAGCCTAAATGGGTAACATGATGTTCTGGATAATATGATAACCACATCTTGTAAACATTCATGAAATGCAATAAACACATTTTGACTTTGACCTACCGTGGCGCCCTCGGGCCGCGTCCGTAGTCCCCTCGATCGGGCCCACTAGAGTGAGCCCGCCGTAGGCTGAACTTTGGTCCAACACCGCGGTGGGCAACCCTCTAGTTGGGTTCTCCACTGATCGGGCGCCTTATTTCGTCTTATTTTCGTCTGCAACCGACGATCGCCAAACGGCTAGAGTACCTTCTGTACTCGCCACTCTGCCCGGTGAAGCTGAAAAAGCTGTTCAAGCTACCAGCGCGCGTCCCTTCAAAAAAAAAGCCATTACATTCATTACTGACTGCGAATTTGTGTCTGTCCTCGGTAGTTGAAAAGGCGTATGTAACATTTTTTCGAATATAAGTTGAGCTCAAGGACAGCTCTCTCCGTTTTGACTTGAAGTTAGATGCGCCCTTTTAACTATCAGGGGCATTATAAATTTATTTTTTCTTTTTTTTTTATCCACAACGAAGAAGCTCTCAGTGACATGTATGTTGGTCTTTGATTCATGTGTGTCAATGACACGGTGGTATGTCAGCAGTAGGTGTAGTATAACTGGCTTAGCGGGTTCATGAAAAATGTAAGCGACATGTCACGGTTACAATTTGCCATATTGTTGAAGTGTCAGAGTTCCCGTCCCGCGATTCGCTTATCAATTACTAGCTTTCCGCCCGCGGCTTCGCCCGCGTGGAATTTTGTCTGTCAGAGAAAAACTTTATCGCGCGCGTCCCTGTTTCAAAAACCAGGATAAAAACTATCCTATGTCCTTCCCCGGGACTCAAACTATCTCTATGCCTTTCATCAAAATCGGTTCAGTGGTTTAGGCGTAAAAGAGAGACAGACAGACAGAAGTACTTTCGCATTCATAATATTAGTATAGGTTCACCATTTTTAATCGCTATATCTTTTTCTGAATACATCTGTTTGAAAATCATTCGACGAATTAATAGAAATACTTTGCATACAGGTGGACGACATCACGAAGTGGCTGGAGCCGCCGGCTCCTCTGAAGCGCAGCAGCGCCGCCACGCGCCTGCACCGCGCGCACAAGCGGCCCGCGCCCGCAGTCTCAGAGACCCCCGCCTTCCTCAGGAACCAGTCGGTTGAAGGGCTGGAGACGCACGCTAAGGTTGGTGCCTACTCTCTCATCCTTTTGATAAATAGTCTTGAGTCTATCAAGCGCAGTAGCAGCTCACTGATACTCTCGCCTTTCTGTGCAACCAGTCAGCTGCAGATGCCCGCTGAAGGACAGGTCGATACCGACTTCTGCTTTTTGATAACCAACTAGCTGGAGCCCCCAGCGTCTCTTTTTTTTGTGTGACAGGAGGCAAACGAGCAGACGGATCACCTGATGGTAAGTGATTACCGTCGCCCATAGACACCCGCAGACCCAGGGGCGTTACAGGTGCGTTGCCAGCCTTTAAGGTGAAGATACGCTCTTAAACAGCTTACTTCCGCTAGGCACCCGCCTTCCTCTGTCGAGGGGCTGGAGACGCACGCTAAGGTTGGTGCCAACTTCTCTTCCTTTGATAAGTAAGTTTCTGGAGCCTGCAGCGCCGCCACGCGCCTGCACCGCGCGCACAAGCGGCCCGCGCCCGCGGTCTCAGAGACCCCCGCTTTTCTCAGGAACCAGTCAGTTGAAGGACTGGAGACGCACGCTAAGGTTCGTACTAAGTTCTGTTCCTTCTGATAACCAAGGCGTCAGGAGGCTCCAGCGACTCCCTCAAGTGTCTCGTGCGCAACAAATCTGTAGAGGGGTTGCAGACGCATACTAAGGGACAGGTTGGTGCCTTCTTCTTTCTTTTGATAGCAAAGTGGCTGGAGCCCCTAGCGTCTAAAGCACAGCGGCCCAAGTCTGCGTCCTCAGAGACCCCCGCCTTCCTCAGGAACCAGTCGGTCGAGGGGCTGGAGACGCACGCTAAGGTTGGTGCCAACTCTCTCATCCTTTTTGATAAATAGTCTTAACTGTCTATCAAGCGTAGTAGCAGCTCACTGAGACTCCCGCCTTTCTGTGCAACCAGTAAGCTGCAGACGCCCGCTAAAGGACAGGTCAGTACCGACTTCTGCCTTTTGATAACCAACTAGCTGGAGCCCCCAGCATCTCTTAAACGGCCTACTTCCGCTAGGCACCCGCCTTCTTCGGTCGAGAGGCTAGAGACGCACGCCAAGGTTGGTGCTAACTTCTGTTCCTTTTGATAACCAAGGCGTTAGGAGGCTCCAGCGACTCTCTCAAGCGTCTCGCGCCCACCAAAATCCTGCCCAACAAATCTGTAGAGGGGTTGCAGACGCATGCTAAGGGACAGGTTGGTGTCTTTTTCCATTTGATAACTAAGATGCTGGAGCCCCTACCGTCTGTCAAGCACAGCGGTCCGCACCTGCGCCTTCAAAGAGCCTTCCTCAAAAACCAGTCGGTTGAAGGGCTGGAGACGCACGCCAAGGTTGGTGCCAACTTCTCTTTCCTTTGATAAGTAAGTTTCTGAAGCGCAGCAGCGCCGCCACGCGCCTGCACCGCGCGCACAAGCGGCCCGCGCCCGCGGTCTCAGAGACCCCCGCTTTTCTCAGGAACCAGTCGGTTGAAGGACTGGAGACGCATGCTAAGGTTGGTACCAAGTTCTGTTCCTTTTGATAACCAAGGCGTTAGGAGGCTCCAGCGACTCTCTCAAGCGTCTCGCGCCCACCAAAATCCTGCGCAACAAAGCTGTAGAGGGGTTGCAGACGCATGCTAAGGGACAGGTTGGTGCCTTCTTCTTTCTTTTGATAGCAAAGTGGCTGGAGCCCCTAGCGTCTAAAGCACAGCGGCCCAAGTCTGCGTCCTCAGAGATCCCCGCCTTCCTCAGGAACCAGCCGGTTGAAGGACTGGAGACGCATGCCAAGGTTGGTGCCAACTTCTGTTCCTTTTGATAACCAAGGCATCAGGAGACTCCAGCGACTCTCTCAAGCGTCTTGCGCCCACCAAAATCCTGCCCAACAAATCTGTAGAGGGGTTGCAGACGCATGCTAACGGACAGGTCGGTGTTTTCTTCATCCTTATGTTAGCCAAGTGATTGGAGCCCCCAGCGTCTGCCAAGCGCAACAGCCCACGCACAGCGGTCCGCAGAAACCCCCGCCTTCCTCAGGAACCAGTCTGTTGAAGGGCTGGTGACGCATGCTAAGGTTGGTGCCAATTTCTTTTTCTTTTGGTTACCAACGCTCTCAGAGATCCTCGCTTTTCTGCGCAACCAGTATAGGGCAGGGCTGCAGACACATGCTAAAGGACAGATCGGTATGATTTACTTCCTTTTAAAAACTGAAGCGGCCTGCGCCCCCAACTTCCTAGCTTTCTACAACTAACCAGTCGGTTGAGGGGTTGCAGACACACGACAAGGTCGGTGGACAACGTAGCAATAGCTATAATATACAGTGCTATAGTTCGAAAACGGTACTTATACAAACGTAATCATATTACGCAGGAACACGGCTGCCTCGCTCTTGTTCGTCTTGCTTTTGCTGTTTCGTGATTACATTTCATATACTACTCCGCATTTAAGAACATTCTGTAACGGGTCTGGGTGTGACTATGTATAATATTTATTATTTAAAGAAAAATAAAGTATATAAGTAGTATATCCGTTAAGCTAGCACCCATAACACAATCATTAAGTTGCTTACTTTGGGGCTAGCTGGCGCTGTGTGAAATTGTCCAAAGATTTATTATTTATTTATTTCATTGTTAACGTTCCAGGCGCACCCGCTACCTACCTTCTGCCGCCACGAGAGCATCCCGGACACCGCCGTGCCCGCCGACACAAACCTCGACTCCGACTCCTCCTCCGACGACGAGCTCAGCCCCTGCCCCCTCCCTTCACCCCCCAAACCCGTTACCCCGCCCACCCCTCCCACCCCCGTCACGTTCCGCAACCCCGAGTGTCTCGATGGAGAGCGAAGGANTTCGATCACTGAGTTTTTGACTGAAAAAATATGCTAAAGAATTTTATTTGAATCAATATAAATATAATATTATGTAATTAATCGACATTATTTTAAGATCAATTGTAATTTGCATGCTAACTGACATAAGCCAAATAGGAATGCACTTTTAATAAAATACTAACACCACTTATGTATTTACCCTATTTTATGAGCAAATAAATAATTTGAATTTAGATAATCGGGCGAGTGTCAGCCGATCCGGACTTCCTTCCGCGACGCTCGGACTTCGGCCTCAACGAGGCGGCCTTCCGCGACAAGTACGGCGGCTGCTGCCCCGAACCGCTGCTGCGACTCGCCTTCATGGCCTGCAGCCTGGACCCTGACGCCAGGTGAGACACGGTACACCAGGGTGGCGATACCGGAAGGGAGATACTACACTAGAGCAACAAATATATAGTTCCAAAATACTGGACTGTCCTATCGATGACAATGACAGTGGGGCGCCACCGTCAATACCGAATCGCTGGTTCCGATTTTTGCCATGTTGGAAACCATATAGTTGAACGATGGTAGCGCCCCCCTGTCATTGAGTTTGGTGGGACAGTTCAGCGTGGGTCATCTATATCAAGGGAGACTAGCGTCTTCTTCTTTCTTTTTGACAGTTCGTCGCTTGCCTCTCTAACTGACGTATCTGACATTTTTTTCGAAACTGAGTTATCTACACCATCTTAATCAATTTCGCAAGAAGAATCGATCTGTCTAATCGCCTGAAAATTTTGCAAAATGTCAGTTACGTCAGTTAGAGAGGCAAGCGACAAGTATAGCTGCGAAAGAACGAAAATACAACCATTGGGCACATTAAAACAGCAAATTACAGAACATGACAGTATTGTATAAGTTAATTTGAATATGATGCCAAAAATACTTCCACTCAGCATAATGCCGCAGTGTATACCACCAAGACGCTGGTTTGTAACGACGAAAGGGAAATATTTAATGTAACTCAACTGTTTTATTGTAAACAAATACACTAAATCAAGGGGAAAACACTGTACCAGGGGAGACACTACTATATCAGGGAAGACACGAAACACTAGGAAAAAGATACTACTTAAGTGGACTAAAACAAGACTGACTCTGCGTGAAGAGAAACGATCCTATATCAAGTGGAGTCAGTGCACCACTATTCTCTTTTCTAGAGGAGACACATTTTCACCAGGGACACTGCACCAAAACACAAATTATATTTAAGCCACGATAGCCGAACAGTGGAGGGGTCGGACTGGCCGACTCGTGATCCGAGGAACGCGGGTTCGGTCCCCGCCGCTCGAATATTGTGGTGAGCTCACTCGTGATACAAGCATATTTAGCTTAGTACGAGGGGCTAACGGGACTATTAGTAATTTGGGTAATAACAAATTACTAATAATCTTAAAAAAATATATCGGAGAATAACATCAAACAGACACATTTCTAACTCTGTATTCTTTCCAGGCCATCATTCGAAGTCATGGAGGGCTGGCTGGAACGCTTAGTCCGCCATCTCAGCGCACCAGCTGCGCCTGACACCACCCTATTATCTGACATCCTCAAACACGCCGCCGAGTTAGAGCACCAAGCTCAGTGTAACTGCACTTGTGACGGCAACGCTTGCAACGTCAACGGGTGCGGCGGCTGCAATGACTGCGACGACTGCGGACGGACACGGGAGGACGTGAAGACTGAGTGCGAGATTGTCAAAGTAAGTGCAAGTGCGGTTTTGTTCCCCAGTCGATGAAGCACCTGATGTCGTGCCCTGAGTGCCCAAGCAACTGCACTCAGGAGGATTTGATGAGTGCTGCTGACGACGCCACTCTTGTGGCGGAGTTTTGGGCTGACACTGTGTAGGTTTGTTGTCGACACGGAAAGAAGAAGAAGGTAAGTTGCTTATAGTAGTGCTAACACCCGTATTCACAAACATTGCTTGCTTAAGTGAAGCGGCAAATCGAACGCATAGAGAGAACAGAGCTTTGTGATTGGTTCGTGTGTCACCCTGTGCGTCCATGCGCACTGTGAGACCTCATAGTAATGTTTGTAATAGTAGTTTGTAACTCATAGTAACTCAGTCAGTGTCTGAGGTATGAGAGTGGCATGAGAGGGGTGACATTGACATAATATGACGAGACAGAGCATAATTATAAAGTCTAAGTGAGCTGCCACACTGGCGGATTGCAAGCGTTTTCCGTGCATCGCCGCTCCGCTTTGAAAACGCTTATAATCCGCCAGTGAAGCAAGGCCCTAAAGGAGATCTGAATTTCGCTCCCATATCCCAGGCACTGACTGATTAATCGCTAGATTATAGTACTTTATCAGGCTGCAAAAATTGTGCCAATTAGCAACTGATTTTCCTGTCGTTTTTCAGTCGGCATCAAACGCGACGCTGCGGCCGCCGGCGCCGCGCGCGCTGGGCAAGTGCGTGTCGGCCAGCCACCTGGCGCGCCGCACGGTCACCGTGACCAGCCTCAGCCGCAGCCAGCACGCACTGCACGCGCCCGCATACATCCTGCGCGCCGCCGGCGCACACATCGACATCACCGAGGTACCACAGCAATATTATCGAGATAAACTATGTGCAGGATGAATGCGATGAAAATTAGATTCACCACTGATTGCGGACCTGTGATGCACAGTGGCCGAACCTCGCTCTTTTATCTATATCTATACTAATATTATAAATGCGAAAGTAACTCTGTCTGTCTCTCTTTCATGCCTAAACCACTGAATCGATTTTGATGAAAGGCATATAGATAGTTTGAGTCCCAGGAAAGGACATGGGGTAATTTTTATCCCGGTTTTTGAAACAGGGACGCGCGCGATAAAGTTTTTCTGTGACAGATAAAATTCCACGCGGGCGAAGCCGCGGGCGGAAAGCCAGTTTTAAATAAATAACTAATTTATTTTCCGTTTTTGATTTAATGTGTCTTATTGCTAGGCATGTGGTAATCTTCATCTGCCCGGCAGCACGGGACTATTCCCACCACCGCAACTCCTGTGTAGCCAGGATCTACAGCTTGACCGCCAATAAAAACACAACCAGTGAAGGTCAAGTTGCCCGGCAGCAGTCTATTTTTTTATGATGATCGTTCGTTTCAGCCAATTGACGTCCAGAACTGGACAAATGCCTCCCCCAAGGATTTCCACAACGATCGGTCCTGCGCCACCCGCATCCAGGCATCTATCCACCTAGTTATGACGATCAATATTGCTAAAGTTATTACCTTCTGCAATGCCAATCCACCAAAACGTATATTTGACGGTGATCCCCATCCAGCGGGTCCATACGTAATGAAAATTGTTACGTTTCACAGTCTTTTATTTTACCTTAGAAGCGGACATCCATGTTTTATTGATTCAATCGTAAGATATTACTATTATGTATAAAAGACTATATACTAGAATACTAAGACTTCTAAAGCAAAATAAAACACTGTGCGTTTCAATCATCGCTTCGATGGTCACTACGGATGGATTCTTCATAAGCATATAAAGGCCCATTTTTATACATACATCCATGTGTTTTGGAATCGTTCGACGGGTTATTATAATACTTGCATACTTCCAGGTGGACGACATCACGAAGTGGCTGGAGCCGCCGGCTCCTCTGAAGCGCAGCAGCGCCGCCACGCGCCTGCACCGCGCGCACAAGCGGCCCGCGCCCGCGGTCTCAGAGACCCCCGCTTTCCTCAGGAACCAGTCGGTCGAGGGGCTGGAGACACACGCCAAGGTTAGTGTCAACTTCTCTTTCCTTTGATAAGTAAGTTTCTGGAGTCTGCAGCGCCGCCACGCGCCTGCACAAGCGGCCCGCGCACGCGGTCTCAGAGACCCCCGCCTTCCTCAGGAACCAGTCGGTCGAGGGGCTGGAGACGCATGCCAAGGTTGGTGCCAACTTCTGTTCCTTTTGATAACCATTTAGCTGGAGCCTCCAGTGTTTTTCAAGCGCACCAGCGCCCACCGAGCTCCCCGCCTTCCTCAGAAATCAGTCGGTTGAGGGACTGCAGACGCACACCAAGGATGGTGCTAACTCTAACTAGGAAAACCTCCAGCTACAGTCCCCGGCGTTTTTTAAGACGTCGTCTTCTTCAGAACCAGTCCTTTGAGGGTCTAATAACACATCAAGGTCGATGGATTAACGTAGTTACAATATAAAGTGGCTATATCTTGTCAGTGGTACAGTTCTCGCAACGAAAATTTAGGCGAATACGATATTTACACAGCAGAATATTAATTTGCATACCGGAATATTGCTACCTCGTTATTGTTGGTCTTGCTTTTGTTGTTCCGTGATTACACCATTTCATATAATACTCCGCCTTTAACAATATTTCATGAATGTTCCAGGCGCACCCGCTACCTACCTTCTGCCGCCACGAGAGCATCCCGGACACCGCCGTGCCCGCCGACATAAACCTTGACTCCGATTCTTCTTCCGATGACGAGCTCAGCCCCTGCCCCCTCCCTTCACCCCCCAAACCCGTTACAACCCCCGTCACGTTCCGCAACCCCGAGTGTCTCGACGGCGAGAGAAGAATCCCCGAGGAAGACTACAGGCGATACAACATCGACCATTTAACCAGAACACCGATAATGGCTGAAGGCGTCAAGAACATACCCAAAGTGATCGAGTCTCAAAAACAGCCGGAGAAAACCAACTTCTTCACCAAAAAACTTCTGTCGCCGAAACTGAGCCGCCTTTTCCGACCGAACACTCCGGAAGTGGTGCGGAACAAACCAGACTCAGACGACAAGGAGGAGAAGTCTAGGAGTAAGTTCTTCATCCAAAGACCGGCGTCGCCGAGCAACATTCGTTCCTATAGAGTACGGCCGGCCGACCGACACGCTGAAAAAAGAGACTGCGATGTCATCAAAAGCGACTTAAAACTCGCCAGCTTAGGGAAACCTATGACTCCTATCTTCCGACGACACATTCCTACAGAGAGACCGGAATTCGCGGACGGTAGATTCAGCTACCGCGACCGGCGACTGAAGCCGAACGAAGCGACCTTCGTCGACGTGGGCCGAAACAAAATTAAAGCACCGGTGATTTCGGTCGAAAAGGAAAAACTGACTCCCCTGATCCGGAGTTCGCAAATCGCTAATATTCCTGCTCTGGCGACAGTTGTGGAAAAGAAAGGAGATGTAGGGAAGAAGAGAGAGACAGGTATATCGCGCAGCAACTACGTCAGTCTGGCCAATCTAAGGATCAACGCTAAGGAAAAGGCCCGAGCGGATAAGCCGCCGTTGGAGCGCGTCATATAGGAACTGTGAGTACAATATCTACCTTCAAACCTCAATTTGGGTGCACAATTTTTGATCTATTAGTCTACTGAATATGATAATCTTCGTTGACAAACTTTGTAATATCAGAAGTATTAGTCTTTCTCCGTAAAAGCTACGTATTGTAGCAATAAATAAATTGAACTGTCAGAAATTGAGTCGAAGATGGCCGATGTGTATGATTTCTTGACGGAGATTATTGTTACTACCCTCGGAATTTGTAAGGGTTAAAGCTTGTCAAAGCCGACGTTTTAGCTTTTATGAATTTAGGAATCGAGTACTGGGCCGGTGATAACGCGTGCGCGGTTCTACCAGTATTTTGTTACATGTATAACGTGTATTTTTGGTGCCAGAGTTTCTTGCAATTGCAATAATTTTGTAAGGTGCTTTTGAGAAATTGTATTTTTTCAAACGACTAAATCCATAGGAATCACGAAACGATCACGGACCTAGTACTTAAAACTTGAAACTTTTATATTGAATATTCCCTGTTATTCCCGTTTTTTGGATTCTTATACTCCATTGTACAACTTATTACATTCTGATTGTATTTAGACTTAGTTAGTCACGCGTGGAGCGCTGAAACTAGTTACAAAGTGACTCTTGCCAAGGCGAGCAGTGTCGCCGATTTTATACAATTGTTGAGTACTTATAACTTAACCGTAAGAGTGGAGGCACAAACGTAGGCGTAATATACTAGCAACACGATTTTGTAATGTCAGATACGCGACACGATTCCTAAGCTAAGTAATTGCTTTTTCTGCGTACAATTTGTTGACTGACTTCAAATAAAACTGCAATATTAGTGGTTTTATAATGGTTTACTATGCCTACACTTGTGTCAGCCGTCTCACTGCGGTAAAGGCGTGCTTTTAGTATGTTTGTATTTGTGGTTTTAGACATGACAATATGCGATAAGTATTACATTCCTGTATACACTTTTTGGATTATATAAATTTATTGTTACGCGTATTTGTTGAAAAATGCTTGATGGTTTATGTGAGTGTAAAGGTATATTCATATTGTTGCAGCGATTGTAAAGGTGAGTAGACTAAATTTCTATGTAGTGTAACGTTCAATACAGATAAAACGTACGTTTGATTTGTGAAAGTATTTAACTGATGCTAGATTATAGAGCCGGCTCGTTCTGTTACAAGTAAATGCTCTAAATCTATACTCACCTTATGAGACTAGTCTCTCCGCGGTATCTTACGAATGTGGTTGACAATGTGAATATGCCATAGAGCATTGGTTCTCAAAGTGGGGGGCACCACCCCCAGGGGAGGCGCAAAGACCTTAAAAGGGGGGCGCGGGCCATCTGTGTACTTAAGTATAAAAAACCAGCGACCGCTGAAAGAATGCATTCCAGACTGCTGACTGACTGTATGGTCGAAAGGGCGCGTCTCAAATAAATTTGGGAACCAATGCCATAGAGTATAGAGTATGTAGATGAGTGTGTTGGTTTGGATCGTCGCGAGTGGCGACGCGTCGTGCCTTCAACAAGACTGCGCGGCTCTGCTGCCGTCAATTACGCGATTCTCGCCCTTTTTGACGCCGATTTGCGCATTCGAGACCTTATGTGTTGCAATTTAGGATATTTTACAAACATAGGTATGATATTTGTTTATGTAGTTCACTCGCTGTGGTCGCCAATCGGCTTTGAAAAGTGCGTGTAGTTCCCCGCTACCCGTGTTAGGGGCGGTATACACTCGTTACCTTCCCGTTATTAAGCCGGATTCACACTGGCTTTAGTGTGATGCTTCAGAAGCGCACGCGTTCTAACACCGACAGTGTGTATGCACCATAACAAAATGCTTCTGATAAGTCACAGCACGCCTGAAAAGTGTGAATCCGGCTTTACTGTTGTAGTTTTTATATCAAACATTAGCTGAATCATTAAATAATTATATACGCAATAATATTATAGAGGTTTTTCTATACAATGTCCAAAGGATCTTTTCTTATTACTCAAACTCTTTTTCTAAGTAATAATTGTTTAGTATGTATGAGATTAAATAGTGCCATTATATCCGCTTAATATACATGTATCGTCGCTAAATACAATATCCGTCATCTACCATCCAATTACGTATGTACATATATCCATTCAAATAGATACAAATATATGCCAAAATCATATTATATTCTGATATAATGCATAGTATTTTTATGGAAAAACATTATATGTTTTTATGCTTTTTCATGCAAAATATTTATCTGCACACATTATAAAGAACGTACAATATTAAAAATATGTACAGCGGTGTCTTTAATTTTGATTTCATTTGGTACAAAGAGATGTTTGCAAGGTGGTACTGGAAGCCCAGTCTGTGTATCGAATTTCAACTTTATTTTACATTTAGTACAGTTTCTCTTATTCTTAACTCGAATAATTTATTAACATTACGTTTAAGTTTAATGTTTAAGATATATTTTTAAGTCTGATTTATTTTATGACACAGGGTGCCATTTTGTATTTTATATTTAATTATATTTGACGACTCAGTTGTCTCATATTTTATTGTGAAGAGCAATCTCATTTGATTGATTTTATGATTGTAGTGGCGACAGTCCGGCTCACGTTTTACCTTATCTGTGATACATTTTGTTTGTAAAATGTTGCAATAACGAGTATTATAGGCCCGCCAGCGCCCTCTGCGCGCGGTTTAGATTTACAAAATAATAATATATTGTAACCCATTAACCGCGTTAACAACGAGTATCTCCGTCTCCTTGCATTCCACATGTTTTTCCATTGTTTAAGTACAAAATATTAATAAAGGATATATTCGTAAAATAAATACTTTTTTCATTATTAAACCTTAAGGCCCAGAACAGACGGTGAAACGCAACTGCAACGAAACTGCAACTGCTAATACTTTTGAGTTGCATCTAAGTTTCTGCCATAGCGTCCGTTGAGAGACCACACATGACGCGACCAGTTTGAAACTTTCAGTTTCATTCATCAGAATCATCGGAAAGTTGCAGTTTCGTTTCACCGTCTGTTCTGGGCCTAAGATTTGGGCTGTAAGTGAAACTAATATGAACCATAAAATATTATTTATTCAAAACAAAATACAAAACAGGGCTGATACAATATCCCAGTTATTGTTACTGCTACCTACAGTGTCCAAAATCATAGAAAATATACGAGAATACATAAGTTGTTCAAAAACATCTACTCGACTAACTTCAACTAAAATAGTATCTCCCAGTATTCGATTTGGCATCCATTGTATGTATGTGCTGCATTATAAGAGCTCTATAATTTTAAATTTCGCCTTATTTTTAGTATAATATCCAATAGTAATTTTTGAATTTCCATCCTTGTTACTCAAAGCGAGATCTTGTCATGAGCGACAGTGACATCTAGACTCCAAACAAGAAATCAGTGAGTAAACCAACTAGACTCGCTAGTGTGTTGTCCAGCAGTGGACAAACCTTAATCATGATCTTTATTCTTTGATCTTTCAGATTGGAACTAATAAAGTCACACACAACCTTGGTGGCAGGCTTAATCAATCTCAAGGGGCGTTTGATAATTAAGCTCTATTCACATACATATATCAGTGAAGCCACAGTTCCGTCACAGTACCGGCACAGTGCGAAATATTCTTTCATACAGTTTCTATCGTCACTGACACTTGTCAGATGTATGGGTACGGTACTGTGACGGAACTGTAGCTTCACTGATATGTGTTAATCGAGCTTTAAACACATGATTACGGTGTTCCATAGTTAGTTTTTAGTTTGAAACTTTATAACTCTTATAATGCAGAAATATACTACAGAAGTACAGAAAAATACTGACATAATCACTCATTCGGGCACAGTTTGCGGCCACGAAAGATTTGCGCCTTCTGACTTGCACATCATGACTCGACGCAAACCACGGGCCTATTAATTAGTACATTCATCAAAAATTGCTAAAGCAAACTACGGAAGTATAGATAGGAATAGAGCGGGTAGGTATTGTCGGAATTGGACATTAGTTACGGCCCGCACCTTTTTGTAACGCATTTAGATGGATGCTAAGAAAATCTAGGACATTTAGTTAAGAATTTTGAACCCACAACATGATTTGGGCTCGGTTCAGACGAGCGATAATCGTGGGGTTACGGTTTTATGCAAATGTACGAGAACTGCCCAGCAATCGCGAGATTATCACCATGTCTGAACTCAGCCTTAAGACGGGTGTAATGTAACACGAATTCTACGTATGGACGGCACTACGAGCATTACATGTGAAGTGCTGCCCATACTATTTCCATTACATTACACGATACATTCCGTTACGCGTTACACCCGTCTGGACCAGACTTTAGGGTGGAGTAAGCCAACGAAATACGTTACAAAAAGGGTGTGATCGAGGCCAGGTCGACGTGATTCTACATTCACACGTAGGTATCAGACAAACCAGCGACACGGGGATGACGGCGACACGTTGATACTTCAGTGTTGCTTACTGCGAGTTTAGCGAATGCGTCAATAAATCTATGAAAATTTTAGTCCTTGAAAGTATCCGCTAGGGGCGCTGTACAACCTGTCATACATTTAATATTTTTTTACGCAATCGCCAGCGATGACGTTTAATGTAAACTCGCACCAAGCACACATACTTCGAAGTCTTTGACACTCAACACTTAACTGCGTAGGCGCAGTTCTCTCAGTCTTATCAGTGACGTCATTCGCGTGCGCCGGCCGAACTAAATGTTATAATTAATTACACGCTGACATCATAAACAAACAGATTGTTTGTGTTCTAAACACAAAACTGTGACATTTCAATAATTTATAGGTAAAATTCTTAATTAATAACAAACTAGTATTGCCGTTTATTGCTATGAATATTGCTTTAGGATGGATTACCACTGATTTAACAAACAAATATCAATCTTAATTAGCAATACGTTACATTTTATTCAACATCATAATTATTTATGAATGTCAGCGCATTAGACACTTATTTTAATAAGTCTAGAAACACTGAAAATCCAGCCAGACTAGTACATACATCCAAAATATCAAGAATGTAAGAAATAATTTATAATTATCTTAAACAGTACATTGAATAAATAGTGCTGAATAATAAATGTATTCACAACGCTGTGTATTAGTGTGTAGATTGGTTGGAGTGAGTTGCGTTTGCCAGGATCTATTTGCGTGTACATAATAAATTAATGTATTTACAGTCAACAGTACAGTCAGCGTCAAACAGTTCGTGACACCCAAAGTTGCCAAAAAGATCGCAACACGTCTTTGTTAGGTACAATAGGCTAGTTGACAAAATTTCAATTATTTGATCGTCAGATAATAATTAGAAAATATTTGACTCATATTTTTTTATTTTCTTTCATAATTAAATAATAACAGTGCTACATCAAGTTGAAATGGCGCGTTACGTCACGCTTGAGCAGATTTTTTACTCAAAAGTGACGTCACGTGACATTTCAACTCAATATAATACTGTAATTATTCGAATATGAAAAAAATTCAAAAATATGTGTCCAAAATTTTTTTAATATCTTTCTCACCGACTAAATAGAATGTCGATTTCATTACCCAGTCATCATCCCTATTGATATACGGTTGTGTTGTCATCTTTTTGACCACCTTGGGTGTCACGAAATATTTGACGCCGATTGTACATCAGAGTAAACATTTTTGCTGTAAAATAGGACTTAATACAACTGAATAAGGTTGATGTCCAGCGGTTTGTACACTGATTTATTGCCAATTTTCATTTGATAGTACGTGTTATTGAAGGAATATACCATTCTTTCAACACTATCGCCAGCACATCATGCTGTTAAGTGTTTGTTGCAATACAGCACCAATTTCTTGGTAATACATAAATTGCCAATATCATAGTTGTTTCGCTTGATGTGCTATCAATAAAGCCGGGTACTCATTAGCGAGCTGTAACCGTAACCGTTACATGCACTGTAACCAAAAAAGATAGTGTATACGTGGTTCGCTAACCTACGAAACACGTACACGCTATGTCTTTTGGTTACAATGCATGCAACGGTTAACGGTTACAGTTCGCTAATGAGTACTCGGCTTAATACTAGACTCTTTTTACAGACTAGTTTGTTTACACAGAAGCTTTAATACAGGGCGACCTAGGATTTAGAATAGTGAGTAAAATCCTGGCAACAGCATCTCACCCTGTATATTAATTAAAGATTGTGCTGCAATGGACGTGCGAGTAGATTAGTATTAGTAGTGTATCATAAGAGTATTCACATCGGAGCTGAGTATAATATAAAATCATCATTTCAGCCACAGGACGTCCAAATATAAAATACGCGTCAATAAATACAAAGAAAAGTACAGACGCGTCCATAAACGTTTGGCATTTTGTGTGAGTCAATATTTGTAATATCTCCTCAATTTTTATTACTAAAATGACAATCGTCTATGGATTAATTTAAAATGGCAGACGAATAACAGTCTCCGCCAAAATAAGTCTACGTATATTTGAAATACAAACGATATCTATAAATAAATTACAATATGACATCTATAAAATAAACAACACATCTAACACGACAACGAACCAATTTTAGGTTCTTTTTATTTATATCCACGCTCTCCAAACGCTTGACAAGACGCACAAAATTATCAGGTACAAGTCAAGTACTAGAAAACCCGATGTAAATTATATCAAAAACGTTATTGGGACTAACGCTAGCCTAGTCTATAAATCAGGTATACGCGTTAAATTTAGACATTACGACTTAGACATAGTTTCAGACATGTATTTTCCTTACCTACTATGAATTTTGACTAAAAAGAGTAAAAATTATAAATGGTTATTGCCGTGAGTGAATTCTTTACGCTAACGGAAACGTGTCATTGAGAAATATAAATAGGAAAATTTTAATTTTATAGATAATTTTAATATTGCTTTGTTTTATAAGTTATTAAAATGATTTGTTTGCCAGTAGCGCAAAGTCGGTCTATTACAGAACGTTGACATTCAATAAACTCTTTCGACGCTTGGTTTTGTAAAATAAATACCAAATCCAGGTAGTCTAGTAATGTAAGTCACAGCCATGAACTACTTAGTCAGTTTTTCCTATACTATGCAGGTCTACGTTCTGTGTAGACCCGTGGACCACACAACCCTTATCGCATAGCAGTCTTTAGGTTAGCGATACAGTGAGAAACGAAAACTCAAATTAAGTATCGTTTTCACCCCTTTATAACGTTCTGCCTTGTGACCTCGTTAGGCCCGGATTCCACCAAGTCGGAGCGGGACAAAGAAACGTTTTGAAAAACCAATCAGATTTCATTGAAATTGAATGAAATTGACAGAATAAAATCGGTGTTTTTATTCAAATCATTTCTCCGCTCCGCTCTGTTTTGGTGGAAACCGGACCGTATTACGTAAATCGCTTGTAAGCTGTGTGGTCAACGCTTCCAGATCTTTGTATTCCAATATTTTAACTGTGAGAATGGTCTTCTAATGTCTTCGACACTTATAATAACATTGAGCTCCTCATAGAGGACTAAAGGTACACTCAGCTGTCCAGCCTTGCATTAAACTGCTTAAAAAGACAGTGCTGCAATCAGAAACATGAGATTTAGAAATGTACAAGGCTTTTAGAAGACCATTCTATCAATTAAGGTATATGAATGCCCTGGTGCTTCACTCGCGGCAATGTACCTAAGACATGCAGGTGCGTGATATGTGTTGTTNAAAATCGGTTTTTTTATTCAAATCATTTCTCCGCTCCGCTCTGTTTTGGTGGAAACCGGACCTTATTACGTAAATCGCTTGTAAGCTGTGTGGTCAACGCTTCCAGATCTTTGTATTCCAATATTTTAACTGTGAGAATGGTCTTCTAATGTCTTTTGACACTTTTAATAACATTGAGCTCCTCATACAGTTAGCTGTACAGCCTTGCAGTAAATTGCTTAAAATTAGTGTTGCGATCAATGGCGAGTTTACATTAAACGTGCTCACTAGTAAGCGCGTTTAAAAAATGTATGAAAATTTCAGTTTTTGAACGTTTCCCGCTAGGGGCGCTGTACAATCCGTCATACATTTAATGTCATTTTTTGACGCGTTCACTGTGAGGCTTTTAGAATACCATTCTATCAATCAAGGTATAGGAATGCCCTGGTGCTTCACTCGCGGCAATGTACCTAAGACATGCAGGTGCGTGATATGTGCTTTTATTAGAATAACTACGCTACATCGCTATGGTCTTACCCTACTCTAAATAACTTTAAATGTAAAAATAAATGCATCGTTTGAACACTACTGAAGCGAAACAAATTCTCACATGGGCGTAGGTCATGATTTTAAATTAAAATAACAAACAAATCAATTCAAATTAAAAAAATAATATGAATATTGCCTGACTATAGATTTGTTATCGTCTTTACTTACTACAATAAGTTTGTGATATTAATAAGAATATAGCGTACCCTTCCTTACAAGGCACAGACAATACAGTTGCTATGATAGCATAATATTTTATTAAGCTTCTTGCATTATCTTGAGATTATTGATTAAGTATTATCAATTTGAACTTGCTTGCTAAGGTTGTTCCAAGTTTAACCTGACGTGACGAGAAACTAGAGAGAAAACTGTTTGAATATTTGTGACATTCAACGTGTTAACAAACAGTTGAGTAAGAAGGGTTAGATTTCATTTACTAATTCTGAACACGTTATAAAACATTACTACGCCCATGTGTATTCTATAAAACAAATACTAACTAAACTAATAAGCCATGCTCGTTACAAAACACTACAAACATTCGTTATTATCTTTATTTGTTTAGCACACGACTAAAATCGATTCAGACGATGTATCGAAACAGAATCGACTTTCAACGTTCGTTTTTGTAGACTGTGGCACTTATTTTGTGACAGATCCCATACATTGCACTATTGGATTCTAGACAAAGTTTTATTCGTTAGAGAACCAGTTTCAAGATCGCTTCGCTATGTCCTTTGTCTGCAACTACTTAGCTAAGAACGGCCGATTGATTCTTTCACGACTGTTACTGGGTGTAGAGTCCAAGAGTGGATTCGCTTCTGTTTTTCTTTTTTAGTTAAATCTCTTTTCAATCAATCTTTTCAGCACCTATATCGACTATCTCTATTTGCCACAAAGTTTAATTTTTTTGAAGTCTTAATCAATAGTTTTCGATTTTTTCCATATAACAATAAACCAGCAGTTATAAGTAATGTTTCATACATCCCTCACCAACATTTAGCACCAACTTGCATCAAACTTCAACCACGATCATCAAAATCGTAAAGCTTGACTGTAAATCTGTTATTCTATTATCTATACAGGGTGTTAGGAAAACATAATATTGAACAGCTTGTTTTTATTGTGATTTTTGCTCTTGTATTAACTTCTCTTGTCGGGACACTGATGAATGCTTCAGTCAGGCGTCACGAGAGCAATTCAGGACAAAAACAGTTAATTACTTGGAACTAACTATCTAGCCCTTGATTTATATTTTCCTAACACCCTGTATTAGCTGATAGAGATTTAATTACGTTACATAAGTATATTCGAGACGTACTTTAATGATCGTGGTCAACAGCTATACCAAACATAACTAACAACCATACTCAAATTACTAACATTACAAAATATATCTAAATTACGTTTCAATAAAAAGTATAACACTAATAAATTGAGTAAATTAATTACATTGACTTACTTTCGATAAAATATTTTTTGATATTTAAAACAACTTTTGACAATTACATTTTTAAACAGTTTTTACGAAAGACTTTCAAATAAACTATATTTTATAAAAGTTATCGTTTAGAAAATCCAAGAGTTGTTAATGATGATGTAATGAACAATGATATTATTTAATCCAAAACTAATTGCTAAACTCTTGAATTTTAAACTTACTATAAAACGAGATCTCATATTATTCGAATAACTTTAGTGATCAAGTGCTTAGTGCGCAGTAAGTCATAATATTATAATTAGTTGGCACATCGTACATAGATATTATTATAATCCTCCTATACCCTACATTATACTATTTGGGGCACTAGGGTGGATCTATTGATTAATTTTGTATCTGGTCTCTAGTATTAGGACATAAGACATCTCTGGCTGCCTCTCACGCCTTATTTTACTCATTTTTGCAAACACAGCAAGATAAATTGTAAACATTTAGTTTGAGAATCATTGAAATAATTGAAGTCAATGGGATGGGACATAACAATCAATCCGTTTCAAACAATATTGATCTTCACAAACAGCGCTCACGAATATTTAATTAATACACGCTTCAATTATTTTTTTCTCGACTTTATATTAATTTCAAGGTTTTTTCCAACTAAGAGATGGTGCTGCTTGCATATTACTTCACGATTATGCTATCATTGAAACGAAGTTGCATTTGTTTTTGCTGTTGAAACTTCAAACTCCTCTTTTTTCCTGATCAATGTCGTTGCAAGTCAATGAGTTTTTAATTTTCCTCTAAGAAAATCTTGGCCTTCATTAGTTGACATTTTTTGCCTGACAAGCTATAGAATCTTGCTACACGGGACTTGCAGCGTTAAGAAGGAAAGTTTGATCAGTCTGTAATTCTTTTTCTAACTAAAAGATGGCGCTGTCTGTCAATTACTTCACGATAGTCCCACCACCAAACATTTGCTGATCAAAGTACATACTAAATCGAAGTAGTAGACATGAGAGGCGTACCATTGAGGCGTTCAGCGTTGCGGTGGTGCTGCGGCGAGGCGCTGACGCAGTCTCGCGAACTTGCCGTGGACTAATCGTAGTTGTGCTCGCAGCCGAGTGGAGAGCTCTCGTTGTAACGCCTGTACCTCCACCAGCTCGCGACGTAGCTGCATGTAGTCTGAGCGCACCTATAAGGGGAGCTTGCTCAGGGTTTGCAAGGGTATGGCGCCGTCAGGGGGTCAAATTCAGTCGGCCATGTTGCAGAATCAATACAAAAAAAGATAAAGTTACTATAACTTGGACCGGACATTCGTTAAAAACGTTTATGGCTTGCTTTCATGATATTTAAAGTCAGATGGAGCTATCGTTCCAATTGGCGTTCTCTCTTTGATAAATAGCGACCTAGTTCGACTGTCCGTCTAGGTGGAAAATTAACTTATCCAGACTAGCAATAGGTCAGTCGGGTCAAACCATTATATGGCCGCTTTTAGAGAATACAAAAAAAGAATACCTTTCAGTCCGAACTTAGACCGTAAAGTTCACATTAAACTCGGAGACTTTAAGTACGAATAAAAGTTACGACTTATCAACAACCGCCTTTATGGCCGACTGGAATTGAACTCCTGGCGTCCGCCGTCAGAACAGAAGCCTTCAGACTAAATTGCGCATAAAAATAGCCTTTGTTCGTTTTATTCTCTATTTTACTACCACTATAACGTCAATTTAGTCTTCAGACTCCGGAGGCATTCCGCTTTATTCTGGCTGACAAAAATCTATATGAAATGAATATGGTTGCCCCATATTTGGAAGTATCTGTGTGAGACATGAGGAAAATAACGGTATAGGTAAATAAATGATAGTTGTTTAGTATTTGAAGTAGTAACGCAAAGGAAGCAGTATAGTACACACATAAAGATATAAAATTGTATGAGTTTGTTTCCAACCATTCTCAAGGAAACACATTAAGGAATTCTTGGTTTATTATTGTGTTCAGATTTCTTTCGTCATTCGCTATAGGAGCTGTCTAAGGGAGTATCGACGCGCCCTCGCGGAGTATCGACGTCACGACGCCAACGCAACGCTACCGCGACGCGACGCCAACGTAACGCTACCGCGACGCGACGACGCTCTAAAGACGCTAGGGTGCAGGGTCCCTATCCTTAATTATACAGGGTGTAAGCTAATCAAAAAGTTCCCTTGAGGATGGTCTCGGTGTCAGCTCTCATGAAGTATATGGCTAGCGAATGAGTCGCCGCCAGCCGGCGCGAAGCGAGCCGTCCTGAAGGCTGGGCCGCTTACGAATCGCAAGCCCCTGCTAATACTCACAAGCATGATAGTTGCGGTCTGACATTGTACAGTCTACTAGTTTTAACAGCCATTTCAACTGTAGTTGCGAAACGCGGACTGCAAAGTGAAAACGTAAGACTACATCGCTTCCTGGCAAAAAAGTCATCATTTAATCTCCAAGAGCACGACCCTCTCTAATACGAGAGGCAAATGGAGGATTTGATCTACACTCCCCACACTGGCCTGGGTTGGGGAGGCATCACACATGACGTTTTTTTTTCAGAAAGCGATATCAATCGCCAATTTTAATCACATGAATATCTTTACAACTGCACATGACCATGAGGATATCTCTAAATGTGTAATTAAATACTGCACAATGTCAGACCACAAGTCACATGACACGGTACACTAATATTTCTCTGACCTTCCATCAACACAAATTGCAACCGGCTGAAAAACAAACATTTCTTATTTTTTTACAAATCAAATACCAATTCATTTATCTTTTCTTAATATAAATTACTTGTTTAATAGTGGTTATAACAGAAAATAAGTAAGTAAATATCATACACAATAAAGTATTTAAGAGGAAATGCAGTTTTTGTTACTAGGCATATTTTTTTCAATTGGCAGACCATTTTTATTCTAATTTAGGTTTACAATAATTTACCAATCTTGAGGCACAGTGGCCAGATAGATTGATTGATGATCCAAATAAATTAACAATAACTTGAGGGTACTAGCAAAAAAGTTTGTTGTACATGTTATATCAATAAAATTGTACTCATTTATCTGGCAATTGAAAAATTAGCACTTATTCATGTAGTTGAATTTTGTTGTTAGTCAACATTACACAGAATGGAATGTTCACTTAGATGTTCACATTAGTCTGTTATCAGGAGGCACATTTGTTATTATCACACTGAATGGCATGTGCATGACATCATTTGTTTGTCAACACACACATCACACATTGTAAGTACGAGAGTCAGGTGTAAATGTTTGTGTAAGAGAATTTGATATGCTATGCTATTAGACATTATCAGTGAATTCAGAATATATGATTGTTAATTAACTTAATTATTTTCATAATTTATGATGTTACAAACTTTTGAGAAGCCAATTAAGAGGTTTAAATTTATATATTTTAATATGATGGCTCAAAATTAACTTGAAACAGTTTCCAGTGATATTACTAGCCATATTAATAATTTGGATACAAAGAACTGATGTCAATGGGAAGAATTTTGATAACTAATATTATTGTGTGTGGATATTTACCTCCGAGACAGACTTGAGTAGGTTCATGACGCAGGCGTCCTGCACGTCCACAGGCTCCACCAGCTCCTTCTCCACATTGTCCATCTTCCACTCCATAAGGTCTAGCTGCTCGTCTGTTCGCTTCACCTGGTTTTTGTAGCCATTTTTATTTTAGTGTCTTGGTTAACAAGAGGAAGTTAAGTTTATAGTACAGAGTAGTAAGGAAGGAAGATAGCATTAATATGTACTTTGTTGAGTGTCATTCATGACTAAGTTAATTTAATAATTTTTGCTATGATGATAACTTTAATTATTTCTTGTAAAACTGTAGGTATCTTTAAAAAAGTTTGATCACATTACTCAGATCAATGTAATAAGAACAGGAATGGGAGTGACACTTATGTTTAGACTTGTATTTCCGATGATTCATAAATGTTTTCATTCATGAGCAAACAATCGCCGCCCTAAAATACACCCGTCTCATAATGAAGCACCTCTGAGCCTTCGTGGTATTGTTACTAAATGAAAGCCCCTGGCCCCTCGCAGCTGGCATATACCAGCCTACAGAGCGGTTACACAGTCCCGGAGTGCAACACAACACGATATTTTATTAATTAAACCAAGCGGCTGACTGACCTACTTAGAAACCCAATCGTTTTTAGGGTCACAAAATTTAATTAAGCGAAAATCAAAGTATCCACTTACCGTCTCCTCGAAATCTTCCATAGTCATCTCTTTTTCAGTCATTCTTACTAGATAATTTGGACACTTTTAGTTAGAATTTTAAAATAAAACAGCGAGTCGCTGGACCAAAACCACCATTCCCGAAATCACGAAATAAATTTGACATTACGTTTTTTTAAATAATCTGTGACTTGACTGACAGGCTAAGACAAAAAATATTATACAGCTTAGACTGGGAAATGAATGACAGTTGCCATGTGGTGGCAGCACAGTCGTCAGTTAATGCATTCAACAGCCAATGCTATAAAAGTTATTCCCTCAGCAAGTTGTCTTCCCTCGCGAAGGTAATGGTAATGCTACAGGCAAATGCTCTATCTAGGTGAGGGAACACCTATATCGATTAGTGAATTTGTACGCTAAGCTAAAACAATAACTTTTATGACAAAAATATGGACTTCCCATAAGACTAAGGGATTATTCGCACTTGGTGGATTAAATATGTAATGAGATGAGAAATAAAAGAGAGTTTATAATTATATACATTTATTTTCTGTCTTTATTTATACACTAAAGTAAGACGAGAACAAGTGAGATAGGTGTGATACCACGTAGAGGCCCGCTGCAGTCTCGCGCCGTCCTGCGCGGGCTCCAAGCAATCAACTAAATATTCACAAATAATAAAAGCTATTTTCAACTAATTCTACAATTTAAAGAAACGTGGCCGTGGAATCTCAGAACGCTGTATGTGTATTTTTGTAATTTAGAATATAAAACCATTGGCAAATAGACTAGGTAGTGTTTTTGCATATAATACTACAGTCACATACGACGTTTTCAATCAGCACAGCCTGAAAGCATTTTGGAAAACAGGTGGGCCAGGAAAGCCATCAATATTGCACATGTATGAAGTGTGAGACGAGTACAGTCATACATACCTAAACACATAATACAATCAACATCGAATAGTCTCTACGATACAATTTCGGGGGTAAACTAAAATAATAATGAGAAATAATTCCACTATAACATTTGATTATTAAATTAAAATACTAGATATTTGTACAAAAATTAAAATTCAATTAATTCGTATACAACATCCTAACGCAAACGCGAACAGCAACTTCATTAAAAAACGTTAATAAATCATCGAGATAACTATTTAAAAGTAAAAATCAATATTTGTAGTCATGTGAAGCTTCAATCTTGATGAAATAATATCAACAATAATTTCTAAATTTTAGAATGTATGCCTATAAGCTAAATACAATTAAAATTTAAAACATTTTTTCTGATTTAAATGTCCAGCAGATAGTTGGTCATCCGAACGAAAAAATAATATTAAAAATAGTGCAATTATAAATATAAATCAAGTCATAGTTGATAGGCGGCTAGGGCCGCTGGCGAGGGGACTAACTACCAATAGAAAGAACATCACATAATAATGGTTTTCCTACTAAAAACATATTTATAAATAATGGGGTCGTCACATATCAGCCGACACAAGTAACCACTGACCGCATGACTGTTATTTGTCTGTGGTTGACCAAAGACAACATTTGTAGTTGGTAGCGATTACTTCTGTCGACGGTGCGACCTCACAACGATTACGACTAACATCATACAAATATATTTTTTTGTTTTCAAAGTTACCTTTGGCACTTAACCTAGAATATAATATCTATTCGTCACCATATACAGACATATCGTCGTCGGCGCAGTCTTTCCTCCGGCTTGACAGGACATCTCAATATTTTTTTACTTTTCTAAATTTTCATAATGCCACATGTTTAATATCAGTGGTATCCCTGCACTTAAGCTTCAGCCAAACCAACGCGTTCAGATCGCGTCGGCGATGGCGATCACTGCATGTTGGTTTGGCTGAAGCTTTATGGAACGCCGAAGGCATAGACTAAAAACTACACGCCATAAAGACGGCTTTTACCCGTGGTCCCCCCAACATGTCCCCAATTTATTTTAACCATGGTCCCACCGCACTAAGTGGCAAACATTGCATGTCACCTATGTCTGGGATGAAATATCAAACGCCGAGTAGGATATGAGTAACTTTAACCCACATGTGTGATGTGAAGATATTATAAAGATATTATGGTACCGTACCTACCTATAATTATTTTCTATACTAGCGGCCGCCCGCGACTTCGTACGCGTGGATCCCGTTTTACCCCCTTCATCTATCTTACCCGGTTTAGATTTTTTCATACAATTTTTTCCCGCTAACTCCCGTTCCGGTGGGAATTTTGCAATATCCTGTTGTAACTAAGCTTTAAGTTTACTAAGGTACCTGCATGCCAAATTTCAAGCGTCTACCTTACGCGGTTTAGAGTTTTTCATACAAATGTTTTTTCCAGCTTACTCCCGTTCCCGTAGGAATTTTGCAATATCCTGTTGGAACTAAGCTTTGAGTTTACTAAGGTACCTGCATGCCAAATTTCAAGCGTCTAACTTAAGCGGTTTAGATTTTTCATACAAAAGGATTTTCCCGCTAATTCCCGTTCCCGTGGGCATTCTTAGGTATCCTATAACCTGCCCAGAAGTATGAAGAATAATTGTACCAAGTTTCGTTAAAATCCGTCGAGTAGTTTTTGTTTCTATAAGGAACATACAGACAGACAGACAGACAGACAGACGGACAGACAGACAGACAAAAATTTTACTGATTGCATTTTTGGCATCAGTATCGATCACTAATCACCCCCTGATAGTTATTTTGAAAATATATTTCATGTACAGAATTGACCTCTCTACAGATTTATTATTAGTATAGATTAATTATAGATTTTTTTATAATATTATAGATACCTAGGCTAGGTGACAAGCAATGTTTGCCACTTAGTGCGGTGGGACCATGGTTAAAATAAATTGGGGACATGTTGGGGGGACCACGGGTAAAAGCCGCATAAAGAATACAACTGTCTATAATTTGTTAAAAATTTTGGTCTCTAATTAGAGACGAAACTAATCCACAGCTAACCTATAAAATTTGTCTAGTCATAGACAATAGTGTTAGTCCCCATCGATAATAGTGCCAATTCTGAAACTGTCTAACTAACCTTAAAATTAACGACATACATGGTTCACACTATCATATTTAAGTGTTCAGACAGAGACAGCGAGTAAAATCAACAGGAGAACTTGTTTCATTGACTGAATATAATTTAAAATAAAACTTATGCACGTGTGCATACAAGATCACTTTAAAACTTACAACAGGACTGGATAGACACCGTCTTTGGCAAATTTGGCAGCTTAGCAAAATGGGTAATAATTCAAATGAGTAATAATAACTATGAAATTTGTACTTTATGCAAAGCGCGTGCTGCGGACCACCGCAGTTACATGAAAGCTAGTGAAATATTTTTTTAATCGCCATCGTAATTTATACGATATAACAAAAATTTTAAATAAACAACTTGAAAAATCGAACTGCTAAGAAAACTTTCATAAATTATGTTTGTAACAAATGTTACCTACTCATGTATTCTCAGTCGATTTCAAAGTGAATTATAGAGCAAAGAATATTCAGATAAATATCAATGAATTCGTGCAAGCTACAAAAATCGTTGTCGCTGTTTGGGTAGTGACCACCTATTTAGTAGACGCGTTTCAAAATACGTAGTGCGTAAATACGTTCTCTATGTTTTGAATGAATTATGTTATCATTATTATTTTAGGGCTAGCTAGAGCGTATCTACCAAGCACGATGTCTATGGATGGTCCTCAAACCTAAGCGCGATGTTGTTGTTTCTGGCAATAGAGAATACAAGACCGTAGACAATGAAACGGGCCCATCGAAGTCCGATAAATCACTCAGTCAGAAGACATTGGAAAAATAGCATTTTGGCACCTCACAATAAAGAGTATTTTAATTTATTGGTGATCTAGTTTTTCTGCTGGATGTGCCTACATTTCTATTCAAGTCTTCCGACTAAATAAATATCGAACTCTTTTTTTTTTATTAAGAAACCTTGAGTTATTAATGTTTTCTTTTTTCTGCTACCCTCTTGCCAAAAATAAATCTATAGCTCGCCATTTCCCGTGCGAATTCACTGTCAACGCACTAAAGATATATTCACATTGCCCCGTAGCATTGTAAATACAGCTTTAACCTTAACTTATCCCTGTTACATGTGTTATAAATTCCTTACGTGTAGGATAGCCAAAATATTTACAGACAAACAGATTTAGTTTACCTTATTCTACGCATGCAGATATAGGCTAATAGGATTTCGTTTCTACTCTACGTAGATATATTTTTTGAATTACATATAATAATATAAAACTTTCTGTAACATCTTACAGTATTTGGAGAGTGAAAAACTGTATAATTATATATCTGACCAGTTCTAATAGGCCGTCCGCTGCTTTGGGCAGGAACCAGCGAAGTTAATCGCATTATAAGAACATTATGTTATGTTAACAAACGATCTAAGTAAATAAACGCGGCGGGAAAACGCTCAAACCAGCGGCCGGCCTACACACGCGTGAGCCATCAAGTACAAAACTATTCTATATCCGCTTCACCTCTATCCTTATCAGTCGTGCCTAATTGACTGCCGTCAACTGCCTCATTCTACACCAAATACTGGCTCAAACTCTTTGGGCTGAATCAGGGAGCCGGCTTACCCAGTGGGTAGTGGGAATTTAGTCGCCACCAAAATTGAAGCGAATTTGAAGCTTATTGAATTGTTTTAAGATCGAAAAGCAACGAGAGATTTTAGTAGACTGAACTAAAAGACATGAAGTCAAGTTTAAAAAAAATGTACATCATCCAGCGATTAGCTGGTCGTATAACAGTTTGAAATAACCGTCTCTTACCTCAATTTCTTCAAAGATGGCGGCCGAAAACTTAAACTAATACCCTAGCCCGGCTCGACCGATCAGCTTATACTGGTGCGAACGAAAGGAACTGAGCGGGCCGCGCCAAAGTGTGCTTAGTGCGGACGCCGGAAAGTTCACTTCAGCGCGTCCGTTTCGAACTTCTGCTCGGTGACCGACACCGCGTCGGAGGAGAGAGCTTCTTTCAGCGGCTCCACACAGTTCTTTGGGATGAGTGTACCTGGCGGGAAAAGATGATTGAGTTTGATTTCAAAATTCCATATCGAAGATTTTGTTTCTAGAAAAGTTGTCCTTTTGCTTGATACCAAATCAGTGTAATGTGCGTACTTTCATGCTTGACAAAGAGTTTGTAGTCTACCGAGACTAAAGCCTGGTTCAGATACATCGATAATTACGCCGTTGCATGTGCAGTTCTCGTACATTTGCTTCAAACCGTAACCGCACGGTTACTCGCCAACGAGAACCACCCAGAAACCGCGCGGATATCTGAGTCTGAACCAGGCCTAAATGAGAAAATGTCTTTAGACAAGTATTCGAGTTCCGTGTCTCGTTTAAATCCCCCGAATCAAGCTAACTCCGCACCTCGCTGGAATGGGATTCTCCCTCGCACTTCCCCGAACATTTCACTTTCCGGTCCGTACTAAAGCCCGGTCCGTGAGCACGTAGAATTTTGTCCAATGACCCCTAGCTAGCCATCCTTATCGCTCACGCGTAATTATGTTGCTGTCACGCTCGCACACTCACTGCGGGCGCCCGTCCCACAGTCGCGACAGCAATATAATTACGCGCGAGCGATAAGGATGGCTAGCTAGGGGTCATTGGACAAAATTGTACGTGCTCTCGGACCGGGCTATAGAGCGTCGACGTGACGTCACGGCTGCCAGGTGCGCAGTTAGCTCGACCGGGTTGTAATAAGTTGATTTTGCTGGCGTCTGTTGTTGTGTGGGCACCCCAGACGTTGTGTAGGCAGCCCAGCCGCTGTGTGGGCATGGGCAGCCCACTGCTGGGACACTCACCCACGATCCTGAGTCCCTGCGCGGTCTTGATGCGCACGACCTGCATCTTGTTGAGCTGGCTGCGCGCGGCCAGCACGCTCTCGACGCGCGCCCACACCGCCAGCACCGAGCCCGCCAGCACGTGGTACGTGCGCTGCCGGAGCCCCACCTGTGGATATAACACTCCATTAGCAACGTCCAGACTGGCCGAGCACGGCTCGCGAGCAGTGTTCGAGCTTTTTTTGCTCGCGAGCAGTGTTCGAGCCTTTTTTTGCTCGCGAGCCGTGTTTGAGCTTCTTTCTACTCGCGAGCGGTGACAACCAAACTAAATTTGAATGGTAGCGCGTGAGCGAGTTAGATTTGTCGCCACATAGCCGTCTAGACAGACTGAGTACTACTCACGAGGTAAACTCAGACTTCATGCAACTTGCGCCAGAGGAAGCATGCGTCACGAGGTTCGTCCACATGTCGAGGCTTTTCACGAAGTTCGGCCAGCTTGGACGCAGAGGATGTCCTATGGCTGAGGTGATGATGAGTGCGCTACTAGTGCCGCTAGTGTGAGTGTACTCGCCTCGCAGTCGGCGGCGTTGCGGCACACGCAGAGCGACGCGCGTACTGCGCGCGCCACGAGCTCTCTGTCCAGCAGTGGACGTCCTATGGCTGGATGATGAGTGCGCTACTAGTGCCGCTAGTGTGAGTGTACTCGCCTCGCAGTCGGCGGCGTTGCGGCACACGCAGAGCGACGCGCGTACTGCGCGCGCCACGAGCTCTCTGTCCAGCAGTGGACGTCCTATGGCTGGATGATGAGTGCGCTACTAGTGCCGCTAGTGTGAGTGTACTCGCCTCGCAGTCGGCGGCGTTGCGGCACACGCAGAGCGACGCGCGTACTGCGCGCGCCACGAGCTCTCTGTCCAGCAGTGGACGTCCTATGGCTGGATGATGAGTGCGCTACTAGTGCCGCTAGTGTGAGTGTACTCGCCTCGCAGTCGGCGGCGTTGCGGCACACGCCGCGCCAGTAGGCGTGGCTGCAGACGCGCAGCGACGCGGCGTACTGCGCGCTACGAGCTCCTGTCCAGCAGTGGACGTCCTATGGCTGGATGATGNCTGTGTGGGCCCACTGCTGGGACACTCACCCACGATCCTGAGTCCCTGCGCGGTCTTGATGCGCACGACCTGCATCTTGTTGAGCTGGCTGCGCGCGGCCAGCTGTGTNACCTTTTAAAAATACGTCAAAATAGCCAAGCTAGAAGTTTTTTAGGCACTCATTTTAACACACAGATTAAGATAAAGGTATAAGCTAATACATTAATAAGTAATAACATAAAACCAGTGAACGAAATTGGATAAATTGACAATACAAACAGAAGTCAGAAAATCCATGATTTTGACTTTGTTCACTTTACGGTCGCACCACATAACTATGATAGTAGATCATGACTTGATATTAGTGATATTTGATAGAATGAAGTCTCATCTTTCAATTTATATGCAAATCAATCTTGTTTTAAGTAGTTGCATTTAAAGCACCATGTCCAACACCTTGTATGGGCTCGATCCACCGTGCGCCGAGTTGACGAGACCTGCCGCGCAGGTGAGAAGTTAGCCGCCCGCGTGAACAGACCACGCGGACGTTGCCCAGGGTGCACCACGAGGAGGTCGCTCACCATCGCACCCCTTCGCAGGCAACCCTATACCACCGTGTTCATAATGAAATAATCTTTATTTTCATTTATATTTGATTAAATTATCAGACCGATGCAAAATGCTCTATCAATTTATAGCCTGACCAGGAACATAAAAACCCTGGCATAGTGGCGCGTCAATTGCATTTGATAGTGCAACACTGGGTACAGTCGTACCTGTATTAAATTAATAGGCTAACTTTATGTATCAGGATTCAGGATTATGGGCTAATTTAATATTTTCATAAATTAACAAAAAATAATTATACTATAGGTAAACTGGTTTAAATAAATTAAATGAAACCATCAATCGAGCAAGTAGGATTTTATTATTATTCATCAATAATCAAATTCTGAACTTGAATATTCAACTACAAAGTCTGCTCATGAACGCTTCAAAATCGGTACTTCTTTCCCAATTCCATAAAATTCAACACTTACAAAGTGACAAAAATCTTTAAAATAGGTAGTTGAAACAAACCACAGCTAATTTTCATAGTTGACTGTACTATACGATAAACATGTCAGTCAATTTGACAACCTTTGTCGGAAACATTATTCAATGAAAATATTGTCCGAACCCTTAGTATTTCTCTTCGACAAATACTTTAACACATTGTGAACCACTTTTATTTCACGACTATAAAAAGATTTTAGCAATTTAATTCACAAAATCAATTGCGCACATTTAAAATAAAGTTTGTTTACACTTTGACAACAATAGACTGACATGCAAGGTGACATGTGAATGAAGTTTTCAGTTACTGTTGCCATTAAAAGAAATTAGTACCATTAATTTTCCGCAACATGGCGAGGGTTTTTATGTTCCTGGTCAGGCTATACCTGTTTATACCTGGCAACCCGAGAGTTATGACTGGAAAAGAATAGGCAACCTAACGTTTGCATATTCTATGGGCTTCATACTTTCGATTGGTATGGAGTTTGTTTAATAATCAAACCGATGAAATATTTAAAAATAAAACGTTTTTTAATGATTAATTAATCATATCCTGGACTGAAATTTATTAGGCAACCCTTAAGCAATATAATTATTGACATGTTAAATTGAATATAAAATATGTTTCATCAAATAAGCATCTCGGTGAAGGTCGTTGTATAGCGGGATCTTAGACTATTCAATATATTCGCGAGCGGTAGCACCTGAGGTAGAATTGAATGGTAGCGCGCAAGCGGGTGTTAATCATATCCTTCCACACCGCGTGATAAGCTCAAACTAAGGTATCGACAAAAACCGAGATCTACCGGGCACAGCTGGCGAGGTCAGACTTCATGCAACGTGAGCCCGAGGAAGCAGGAGTCAGGTGATTCGTCCACACCGGCCGAGGTTTCTCGTAAGGTTCGGTAAGACGTAGCTTACCACAACTGTCCCAGCTATAGTCTAAATTAATTTACAGCGAGTTCGTTACTGCGTATTGTGCGCCCTGCCCATTGCCACTTCAGCTTGCTAATCCGTCGGTGTATGGAACATGGAAAGCATTGAGGGAGGCCTATGTTAAGCAGTGGACGTCCTATGGCTGAGATGATGAGTGCGCTACTTGTGCCGCTAGTGTTACAGTACTCGCCTCGCAGTCGGCGGCGTACTGCGCGTGCCACGAGCTCTCTGTCCAGCAGTGGACTTCCTATGGCTGAGATGATGATGAGTGCGCTACTAAAGCCCAGTCCGTGAGCACGTAGAATTTTGTCCAATGACCCCTAGCTACCCATCTATTGCTGTCGTGACTGTGCGACGCGCGCCCGCAGTGTGTGTGCGAGCGCGATAGCAACATAATTACGCGCGAGCGATAAGGATGCGTAGCTTGGGGTCATTGGACAACATTCTACGTGCTCACGGACCAGACTATAGTGCCGCTAGTGTTAGTGTACTCGCCTCGCAGTCAGCGGCGTACTGCGCGCGCCACGAGCTCTTGTCCAGCAGTGGACTCCTATGACTGGATGATGAGTGCGCTACTTGTGCCGCTAGTGCGCCACTGTGAACTTGTCCAGCAGTGGACGTCCTATGGCTGAGATGATGATGATGAGTTCGCTACTAAAGCCTGGTCCGTGAGCACGTAGAATTTTGTCCAATGACCCCAAGCTACCCATCCTTATCGCTCGTTCGTAATTATGTTGCTGTCGCGCTCGCACACACACTGCGGGCGCGCGTCGCACAGTCGCGACAGCAATATAATTACGCGCGAGCGATAAGGATGGGTAGCTTGGGGTCATTGGACAAAATTGACAGTGTACTCGCCTCGCAGTCGGCGGCGTTGCGGCACACGCCGCGCCAGTAGGCGTGGCTGCAGACGCGCAGCGACGCGGCGTACTGCGCGCGCCACGAGCTCTCGGCCTCGTCGCTTTCGACCTTCTTGTACTTCTTCTCGATCTCAGCCAGCGACTCTTGCCGCAGCTGCAACCCTGTGTTTGGCCTGGAACGAAAGATAATCACGTTAATATGGCACGTTAACTTATGTCAGAAGAGCGATCCATTCAGTATAAGAGTCTACGTTTAAACGTGCGCGGGTGCACGGAGTGGCCCTGTTCCGGGAGTTCGACGCGAGTTTTTGTTCCGCAGCGGTCACACGCTGCGTGCGATCGCCTGTTAATTACACCCCTAGAATGTCGGATCTCGCAAAGTACGCCCACTCCCCACCACGCATGTGGAAATCCGTCTCATGCGTTCGCGCCACACTGCGCTGCTTACTTTATTTTTCGATACAGAGACAGAGTGAATGCGTCCGCCCGAGTCGTAGAGTTAGCTCTAACCTCAGTTGCTCCAACCAACACGACATAAGGTCTGTTGTGAATGTGATGTTATGAAGTGTATTTCTCTCAGAAACTATCACATCTGCAGGCTTGAAATTTAGCGGGTAGGTTCCTTATAGGATGTAGATGTAGACATCCGCTAAGAATTTTACGAAACTCCATCCATCCCGGAGAGGTAAAACGGGGTCCACGAATATGAAGTCGCGGGCAGCTAGTTCTATTATTCCCGTAAGAGACTCCCACGCTTGGCAGGCGGGTTGGAGATTGCAGTTTAAAAGATTGATGTTTTTCAGAGAGCGATGCTGCCCGTTCTCTGTTTGATGTCTCCCACCCGCCTGCCAAGCGTGGGGATTACGGCAAAACCCTCCACTATAGTAGAGGAGGCTCATAGTCCAGCAGTGATCTGTAAAGGGCTGTTGATGATGATGATGATGATCGGGACTATTCCCTCCTCTCGTTCCCACCGCTGCAACTCCTGTGTAGCCAGGATCTNAGGCGCCCGCGGTCTCTTAAATTAGCTCGGTCCGTGCGGCGTGCGGCCGCGCAGCCGTAGGGTGATCAAAATCTCTGCGCTCGGTGCTAGGGCTGTCGATGCGTCGCGGGGCGCGTCACAGGGTAACACGGAAACCACACGTACGAGGTCGCGAGCGGCCGCTAGTTAAATCTAAAGGTCAAGGAGCGGTTGCCTGCTCCGGCCGTTCGACGCGAGTCTTCGCTCCGCAGCGGTCACACGCTGCGTGTTAATTAAACCACTAGTATGTCGCAGCTAGCGGAGTACGCCCACCTCCACCACGCGTGTGGAAACGCATCTCAGCGAATGCGTTCGTGCCACACTGTGCTGCTCATACTATTTGTCGATACAGCGTGTGAATGCATGCCCACTCGAGTCATAGCGTTAGCTCTAACCCCAGTTGCTCCAACCCACACGACAAGATGTAAATAGACCACACACTGTTACAAGTTGTTTCTCATAGAACAGACATTTAAAGAATTTACAAATAAAAACTTAGCGGCTATGAAAGATTTTTCATAATTTATTGAAGGTCGGCTTTTAGGCTGTAGACATCCGCTAAGAACGGGTTTTACAAAACGGGGTCCGCCTGCCAAGCGTGGGGATTATGGCAAAACCCTCCACTATAGTAGAGGAGGCTCATAGTCCAACAGTGATTTGTAAAGGGTTGTTGATGATGATGATGATGATGAGAGGCCCCACCTGTATATGTGGAACATGAGCTCGCGCTTGCTTTCTGTTTGATGTCTCCCATCCGCCTGCCAAGCGTGGGGATTACGGCAAAATCCTCCATTATAGTAGAGGAGGCTCATAGTCCAACAGTGATCTGTGAAGGGTTGTTGATGATGATGATGATGATGAGAGGCCTGACCTGTATATGTGGAACATGAGCTCGCGCTTGCTTTCTGTTTGATGTCTCCCACCCGCCTGCCAAGCGTGGAGATTACGGCAAAACCCTCCACTATAGTGGAGGAGGCTCATAGTCTACTGGACTGGGGGCTGTTGTTGATGATGACGATGATGATGAGAGGCCCCACCTGTATATGTGGAACATGAGCTCGCGCTTGCTGAGCTTCTCCTTCTTGTGCGAGGGCGCGGCCAGGCACAGCACGCACGTGTGCTTGTTGTTCCGCGCGTGCTGGGACAGGTAGAAGCCTTCCTTGGGGCTGCCCGCTTCCGACCACTTCTCCAGGGCCTCTGTCCAGTCCATGCCGCGCTGCGAACATTAATACAGAACATAAATTGACTGTTGAAAACATTGAAAATCCCAGACTTTCCGTGGCTAACGTAAAATCAATTTATTTTATTTTGTTCGGAAAACATTCAGTGCAAAATACAGTGGAAAATGCAACTATAATAATATGTAAACGGCAAGTCCCCTTTGACCAGAGTGGGAAATGCGGATCAAATCTTCTATTTGCCTATGGCGAGTTAGAATGGCCCTGTTAGAAGGAGACTCGTCATTTTTTAAATGTGGTATTGTTGTCTCGAAGTGGTGGTAGGGCAAGCTACATTTGGGACGTGTATAAGCGCCCTGGATGAGCCTAAGTACTGAATATAAGATTTGATCGTTTTGTTGTGACGTAAGGTACTCCGTAGACTGATTGTTGAAATAAATTGTTGTGATCCTTTATTGTGAGGAGTATTTTTTTCTCGCCAGTTGCCGCGGTCCAGGAGCCAGCTGCAGGTGGCTGGTGTGTTACCTCGGAGTGCACGGTGTGCAGCTCGACGGGCGCCTGGCCGGTGGCGTGGCGGCGCAGGAAGCGGTCCAGGAGCCAGCTGCAGGTGGCTGGTGTGTTACCTCGGAGTGCACGGTGTGCAGCTCGACGGGCGCCTGGCCGGTGGCGTGGCGGCGCAGGAAGCGGTCCAGGAGCCAGCTGCAGGTGGCTGGTGTGTTACCTCGGAGTGCACGGTGTGCAGCTCGACGGGCGCCTGGCCGGTGGCGTGGCGGCGCAGGAAGCGGTCCAGGAGCCAGCTGCAGGTGGCTGGTGTGTTACCTCGGAGTGCACGGTGTGCAGCTCGACGGGCGCCTGGCCGGTGGCGTGGCGGCGCAGGAAGCGGTCCAGGAGCCAGCTGCAGGTGGCTGGTGTGTTACCTCGGAGTGCACGGTGTGCAGCTCGACGGGCGCCTGGCCGGTGGCGTGGCGGCGCAGGAAGCGGTCCAGGAGCCAGCTGCAGGTGGCTGGTGTGTTACCTCGGAGTGCACGGTGTGCAGCTCGACGGGCGCCTGGCCGGTGGCGTGGCGGCGCAGGAAGCGGTCCAGGAGCCAGCTGCAGGTGGCTGGTGTGTTACCTCGGAGTGCACGGTGTGGAGCTCGACGGGCGCCTGGCCGGTGGCGTGGCGGCGCAGGAAGCGGTCCAGGAGCCAGCTGCAGGTGGCTGGTGTGTTACCTCGGAGTGCACGGTGTGGAGCTCGACGGGCGCCTGGCCGGTGGCGTGGCGGCGCAGGAAGCGGTCCAGGAGCCAGCTGCAGGTGGCTGGTGTGTTACCTCGGAGTGCACGGTGTGGAGCTCGACGGGCGCCTGGCCGGTGGCGTGGCGGCGCAGGAAGCGCACGCAGCGCGCGCGGCGCACGCTCTCGCCCGCGCTGCCGAGGTCCAGGATACCCAGGTCGAAGCGACCGTTGCGCTTGGCTGTGAACAATGGTTGGGAACGTTAGGCAACGCTAGGGCAGAGGGCGCTAGCACATCGCTAAGCAAGCCATTTTAGAGCCTATGCTAAATTGTACGAAGCAGGTGCCCGCTTCGGACATCCTTCCTAAACTTTGAACTGCATTTAATGCAGTCAAAGCAAAGTTTTAGCGAAGGCCCTTAGGCATTACTTAGCGCAGAGGGCGCCAGTACCACAGTCAGTAAATAAAGTAGTCATTTTGAATCGTTCGTTCGTTTAGCCAAATGACGTGCACTCTGCTAAACAAGTCCCCCCAAGGATTTCAACAACGATCGGGCCTGCACTGCCCGCATTCAATACTTTGGTATTTTTAATCATTTGTATTTATTCATAAACGTATCAAGTTCAACATTGTAGTATTCTAATACTCAGTCACATAACAAAAGTAACAAGAACATGATGTAAACTGAAAATGTTCAAACCTTGCTCCATAACCGTGGTGAGCGTGTCCGTGAAATATTTGAACAGCCTGTTCTGCAGGTCCACCGGCATTCCCAGTATCCTGTTCAGGAACTTCGACATGTTGTTGTAGTCCTGAAACAAATCATTACATTTAATAATGTTCTCTGATAAGTTAGCAATATGAGCTCCTAGTAGGCCAAGCTACTTGTGAACTAATTGTGTGCTAGCTCGGGTCTAACTTGTCCAGCTGCAAGCTAGCTTGGGTTTAACTTGTCCAGCTGCAAGCTAGCTCGGGTTTAGCTTGTCCAGCTGCAAGCTAGCGCAGGTTTAACTTGTCCAGCTGCAAGCTAGCTTGGGTTTAACTTGTCCAGCTGCAAGCTAGCTCGGGTTTAACTTGTCCAGTTGCAAGTTAGCTCGTGTTTAACTTGTCCAGCTGCAAGCTAGCGCGGGTTTACCTTTTCCAGCTACCTATCTTTATCGCTCGTGCGTAATTATATTGCTGGCGCGCTCGCAAACTGCGGCCGCCCGTCGCACGGTGAGTGTGCGAGCGTTTGGGGTGATTGTACGAAATTCTATCTGCTCGGCGACCGGACTTTATTAGCTGCAAGTTATTTTTTTATCTACCTTGTCGAGCTGCAGCACGCCGGGCGCGGCCTCGCTGTTGACGATGAGCCCGACGCCGACCAGCGCCGACGCCACGTCCTGGAAGAAGTCGCCGCGGTAGTCGCGCGGCGGCGGCACGAGTGGTGTCTCGTACTTCATGATCGCTTTCATTACTGCTTCTAGCGCTGTGCGACCTGTAGGAGAAAATAACATTATTGGAATGTGTCTTTCATCACCGGTATGGTGGGTTACAACCTATGTGTGTTACCAGTGTTCACTTATGGTTCGGAAACGGCCTCTCACTATAAGGCTTTATACAGAAGCTGAAAGGTGCACAGCGTGCTATGGAGAGGGCTATGCTCGGTGTTTCTTTATTTACGAGATCGAATCAGATATGAGGAAATCCGTAAACGAACTAAAGTCGCTGACATAGCCCCACGGATTAGCAAACTGAAGTGGCAATGGGCAAGGCACATAGTACGCAGAACTGACCGCCGATGGGGCAGCAAGGTTCTGGAGTGGCGACCACGGGCTGGAAGACGTAGCGTGGGCAGGCCTCCTACTAGGTGGACCGACGATCTGGTGAAGGTCGCGGGAAGAGCCTGCATGCGGGCAGCGCAGGACCGTTCATTATGGAAAACTTTGGGGGAGGCTTTTGTCCAGCAGTGGACGTCATTTGGCTGAAACGACGACGCCGCGGCCGGCGTCAGTGTGGAAGGATATCAAGCCACAAAAAATAAATGAACAGAAGATAAGCTTTTTTAGCCAGTATGCTCCATAACTCGCGGCTCCGTTGGACACCGTCGAGTTTTAGTAGGTAGGTCCCGCCTTTACCGAGCGACTCGCGTCTGCCGTCTCCCATCGACCAGTGAGTATGCGCAGAGCTTTTCCCGACGTTAAAAAAGGAGGTTGACTTGTCGTAGCATTGAGTTGTCAGAGCGTCGAGTTGACGGGGTCGACTCGTCCGAGCCAAGCTGTCCCGGGGTTAATCGTCGCATCACTCACCGTACTTATTGTCGATGTTGAACTGGCTGAGGTCCCTGGTCTCGGTGGCGCGGCGGTCGCCGTGCGTGAGCGCGCCGAGCGACTCGAGGCGCTTGGCCACGGTGCAGGGAAGCGCTCCCGCCATGTGTTAGCCAGTCACATAATCCACTGGTCGTCCCCATCGACCAGTGGGTATCATTCATCATCATCATCTCAGCCATAGGACGTCCACTGCTTTCCATGTTGCCCGGTTGGTAGCGGCCCGCGTCCAGCGCTTTCCTGCTACATTTATGATGTCGTCGGTCCACCTTGTGGCGTTTTCCGGTACGCGGCCTCCACTCCAGAACCTTGCTGCCCCATCGGCCGTCAGTTCTGCGTTCTATGTGCCCTGCCCATTGCCACTTCAGCTTGCTAATCCGTCGGGCTATGTCAGCGACTAGTTCGTTTACGGATCTCCTCATTTCTGATTCGATCTTGTAAAGAAACACCGAGCACAGCCCTCTCCATAGCACGCTGTGCAACTTTTTTGCAATGGAGGGAAGTCGAACCTTAACTTCGAACTCTTATGTTCTTCTGATTAATTTCGTTGCGGGTCCAAAAGCTTCTGGCCACGTTTCCGAACCATAAGTCATCACTGGTAACACACATTGGTATGGACATATGGACCAGTTATGCGCAAGGCATTTCCCGACGTTAAAAAAGGGGGTTGACTGTCGTAGGTATTGACTTGTCGCAGTCGCTTGTCGAGTTATCATATCACTCACCGTATTTATTGTCGATGTTGAACTGGCTGAGGTCCCTGGTCTCGGTGGCGCGGCGGTCGCCGTGCGTGAGCGCGCCGAGCGACTCCAGGCGCTTGGCCACGGTGCAGGGAAGCGCTCCCGCCATGTGTTAGCCAGTCACATAATCCACTGGTCGTCCCCATCGACCAGTGGGTATCATTCATCATCATCATCTCAGCCATAGGACGTCCACTGCTTTCCATGTTGCCCGGTTGGTAGCGGCCCGCGTCCAGCGCTTTCCTGCTACATTTATGATGTCGTCGGTCCACCTTGTGGCGTTTTCCGGTACGCGGCCTCCACTCCAGAACCTTGCAGCCCCATCGGCCGTCAGTTCTGCGTTCTATGTGCCCTGCCCATTGCCACTTCGGCTTGCTAATCCGTCGGGCTATGTAAGCGACTTTAGTTCGTTTACGGATCTCCTCATTTCTGATTCGATCTTGTAAAGAAACACCGAGCATAGCCCTCTCCATAGCACGCTGTGCAACTTTAAGCTTCTGGCCACGTTTCCGAACCATAAGTCATCACTGGTAACACACATTGGTATGGACATATGGACCAGTGGGTATGCGCAAAACATTTCCCGACGGATAAAAGGGGCTTGATTGTCGTAGGTATTGACTTGTCATGGGGTTGACTTGTCGCAGGGGTGGAGTTGTCGCAGGGGTGGAGTAGTCGCAGGGGTGGAGTTGTCGCAGCGGTGGAGTTGTCGCAGGGGTGGAGTAGTCGCAGGGGTGGAGTTGTCGCAGCGGTGGAGTTGTCGCAGGGGTTGAGTTGTCGCAGGGGCTGAGTTGTCGCAGGGGTTGAGTTATCATATCACTTACCGTATTTATTGTCGATGTTGAACTGGCTGAGGTCCCTGGTCTCGGTGGCGCGGCGGTCGCCGTGCGTGAGCGCGCCGAGCGATTCGAGGCGCTTGGCCACGGTGCAGGCGAAGCGCCGCTCGCCGGCCAGGTCGGAGATCAGGAATATGTACTCCGGCGCGTTGACCTGGTTCGACCGGTGAGTACGACCTGGGAGAGGACATAATTATGTCAATTCAAAGGTCGCATTTAAAATCCGGCTCGAAGGACCAAATTTGTTAATTACTCGATAAGTCGGTCGTTAGCTCAATGCGGAGAAAGCCCGCATGCAGATTGATGAAAACGGTTCCTCCCGTGCGAGCCCTGTTGTAAAACCTTCCGCATTCTGTATGGGGGCACTAACGACCAATGAAAATACGCCCTTAACTGTTTCAAATACTATGAAATATAATAGAAGACTGATATCTTAAGTGCCACTTACCGAACTGCTGTATAGCTCTGTCAGCTGACCAGGGTAACTCTAATGTGATGTGTACTCTTCGCCTTTGATTTCTTGCACTGCAAACAAAATATCTCAAATTATAATCGGGACACAGGGCGCGAAGTTACAGAAATTTGGCTAAGTGTAATTAAAATAGTGTAACGCCCATATTCACAAACATTACTATGAGGTCTCACAGTGCGCGTGGACGCACAGGATGACACAAGAACCAATCATAGAGCTCTATTCAACGCTGTGCGTTCGGTTTATTGANTTTATTGCTTCACTTGAACAAGTATCATTTGTGAATACGAGCGTAAGTCTATATCAAAAATATCTTTAAGGAAAAATACTCAAACATTTTACACAGTTTTATAGTACGATCTCTTGCCACATAGAGATACACCTTTGTAAGAACTTCTTGCCACACACAGGTGATGAAATAGTATCAACAACCCAAGCTCAGTTATGGTATTCTCACCGTCTATCACTCTGCAGCGAAATACCGCTGGAAGCGGCTTCAGAGATAATGGCCACGTCCTTCTCTCCGTCCATGAAGCGCTGCTTCTCCGTCAGGTTCAAGGTCTCGAGCGGCACGTCCGCTTCCGAGCGGCTTTCGTAGAGAATCTGGCCGTCTTCCGTCTGCACCACGCGGCCTTTGCGACCTGTCATCTGGGGGTAGAGAATATTTTTAAGATCTACCTATTGTAATGTAACACCACTATAAATTGTATTGTGACATGCAATAGTGAATTTAATGTTTTTTTTTTTTAATTTATTGTTCACAAAAGGATACACAGCAAATACAAAGATACACTTGCCAAACTGCATTACAGTTTGTCGGCAATAATTCTCGTCCTTAGTTTTTTGTTTTCGGGCTCAGTTGCACCAGCCTACTTCAACCGTTACCATAGCAGTAACTGGGTGTTTTTTGTATGGAATTTAATAGAGTTACAGCAAGATGGCGCCACCTAGCCCGAGCATTTATTGTGTTTCCTGCTAATTACTACACTATACTATATCTACTCATGCAATACTTAAATTACATTGTCGTTTCGTATTGAGGGACTTATTTTTTAAAAGAGGACGCTTGATAGTTTTTCAAGAATAGAGCTATAATAGACAGGGACCTGATAGTTTGATATCAATTTAATGACTTTAGGTATTTAACAGCTGGAAATTACCGACTGGTTCCCTGATAGAAAAAAGTTTACATACTCGTTGAACCTGTAGATCAACAGCACTGCTGAGATCTACCCTAAGGATTTCCTCAATGACAAAAATATCCAGATATACCTTAGCCCGTCGTACAGTAAGTATGCGAGCGCGACAGCAATATAATTACGTGCGAGCAATAAGGATGGGTAGCTTGGGGTCAGTGTACGAAATTCTATCTGCTCGGCGATCGGACTTTAGCAGACTACGTCTTCCGCTTCATGGTCGCCAACTTTGTATACCACCCATTGACACTTTAACGCGTTCAGTGTGGCTGCCCCATCGTTTTGAACATCCTGCAGGTTATGATGGTTACTTGGTTCTCCTATAGATGTTGACACTGCAGCGTAGATCATCGCAGATCTAGCGTTTACCGATTACACTTAAACATAATGGTCCAGAACCCTTTTGTGGTGTTCCCAAAAGTCTCGCTCGAATGACCCTGGAGCATGGAGAACGACCTATGGAGAACATCTATTTAAACAAATCCTTTATGGCATGGTCAGACACGCCAGGATTAACTCATTCCAAAGCTCTCATAAAAGCCTATGATCGAAAAAGCTCTAAGCAGATCATAGGACTGAGTAGGACCAAAATGCGCATCTTAGTTCGAGCCCTCACTGGACACTGCAGCTTAAACAAACACTTGTCCACTATGGGACTGTCCGAAACAAGAACGTGCAGGATGTGCCAAGAGGCAGATGAAACGCCACTACACATGCTCACGGACTGCGGACCTCTGATGCGCAAGCGGAGCTTACACCTGGGCAAACACATCCTAAGCCCACAAGATGTAAAACATATCGCCCCCCAAAAGATACTGCACTTCCTAATGGATGCAGGACTCGGAGGCGAACTGTAAGGAAAACAGCGGCGATCACAATAGATCGATAACGGTCGCAGTGATACTAGGACTTTATTGAACTAGAATAGCCGCTCAACACAAATAAAAAAAAAATACACTTAAACATTAGCGGAAGAATGGTAGGGCGCGTCTTCGTGGATGAAAGGTTTACATATCCCGTTACCTCGGCCACGTTGTCGGTGCCGCCCAGCTCGTCGACGAGCTGGTCTAGCGTGTTGGGCGGCAGGCGGCGGCCCAGGCGCTCGATGGCGGCCAGCAACTCCTCCTTCATGCTGCAAGCCCGCTCGATGGCCGAACGCGGCGGTGGCTGACTGCGGGCCGGGCCTAGGGAACGAAATACCGAGTATTAGAGGCTGCGCAAACGTACACTTTTGTGTCTACAAGCCACCAGTGAATATTTATTTTCATATTATCAACATCGAAATCAGCCAATCCCTGGGAGGACGAAAACACTTTTCATGTCCAGTTGCTTCAATGCTTCAACTTGACAAACGTTTCAAATAAGGCCCAGAACAGACGGTGAAACGCAACTGAAACGAAACTGCAACTGCTAGTTACTTTTGAGTTGCATCTAAGTTTATGCCATAGCGTCCGTTGAGAGACCACACATGACGCGACCAGTTTGAAACTTCCAGTTTCAGTTTCATTCATAAGAATCATCAGAAAGTTGCAGTTTCGTTGCAGTTGCGTTTCACCGTCTGTTCTGGGCCTTAGTGTTCAATGTAAGCATTTAAAAACTAAAGTCGTCAGTGGAAGGTACAAAATCTCTGACTCTGAAATGAAAAAAGCTGTCAAAGGTGACCGAGTTTTTTCCCCTATTTCTCAACACTAGACAATATTTCAAAATAATAAAAAACTGAATTACATAATGCCGGTGGTTCCAGCACTACAGAATAAAACCCCAATTTCCGAATGAGGCAATTAGAAGACAAATACAGTCGTGGTCAACTAATTAGGGACGTTATATGACTAAAACACAAGACCGTCTCTCCAGTCCCAAAAAAATATCTTCACGAGGCTTTGTAGCTTGTGCCTATTAATAACAAGTAATTTGGCTAGTATTCTAAATATTTAAAGGCCAGAAAAGAAACTAGCTAGTTGCGATCAATATTTTTAAAATAAACTAGCTGACCCGGCGAACTTCGTACCGCCTTAGCGTAGAGATTTTCTTAATATTTTTTTCCGTAAGAACCATCCTTGGACTTCCACAAACATTTAAAAAAAAGAATTATCGAAATCGGTTCAGCCGTTCACACGTGATGCCGTGACAACGCGAAACGGGTTTCATTTTTATATATATAGATTATTGCCACCTACACATTTATTGACCTAGGGATGGACAACTAATTAGGGACACGTAACACTTTCACTGTAAATGTAAATAAATTGGAAATTATTTAAGTGTTTATTACATAAAAAGTTTTCATTAATAAATATAGAATACAAAACAAAATCATCAAACGTATTTTTATAACCAATATGGTTGGTTTTGTTGGTTATAACCATTTGACATCGGCGCGGCATGGATGCAATCAAATCATTACAGGTTTCTAAAGAAATATTATTCCAAATACCATTAAATGCCACGAAATGCTGATTTTTAGTGCCAGTACGTTGAGCTGCAACTTTTTCCTTCGTTTCATACCATAAGCTCTATAGGGCTTAAGTCTGAGTTGTTTTCGGGCCAATCTAGTACCGTCACTGACTGTTGCGCTAGGAGTTACCTCGGCCACGTTGTCGGTGCCGCCCAGCTCGTCGACGAGCTGGTCCAGCGTGTTGGGCGGCAGGCGGCGGCCCAGGCGCTCGATGGCGGCCAGTAGCTCCTGCTTCATGCTGCGGGTGTAGTTACCTCGGCCACGTTGTCGGTGCCGCCCAGCTCGTCGACGAGCTGGTCCAGCGTGTTGGGCGGCAGGCGGCGGCCCAGGCGCTCGATGGCGGCCAGTAGCTCCTCCTTCATGCTGCAAGCGCGCTCGATGGCCGAACGCGGCGGTGGTTGACTGCGGGCCGGGCCTAGACAGCAAGATACACAGTATTATTGAGAGGTCTTTTCTACACACACAAATCAGGAAAGTTTTTATGGTACAGTCTTCTTCTTGTTCGTCGCTACACTCTGTGTAGCGTGGTTGTGGTCGTCATACCCGGTTTGGTGGCAAGCTAGCTTCTACCTTCGGCCTTTACATTGGCAATATTGGCATCAGGTAAATTAGAAATTGTACAAGTTTCGACAAAGTCACAACACGTTATTTTTATTGAAACTTTGGGCATTGGCGTATCTAGTGTTATTTTTGGCCCTCACATGAAGCTCTTAAATTTTCTAAATGTGCATGTAAGGGTGGAATGATTTTTTTTTGGCTCGGGGAGGCTCAGCGAAATAAAGGTTGAGAAACCCTGCTATAGATGATGCTTACCCAAGTAGAGCCCGTTGGTGCCCACAGGCGTGCCGGTGAGCGTGCGTCCACCAGGCGTAGCAACCGTCACTGTGCTGGGAGCAGTCGTGCTCTTACGCTCCAGCATGGTCTCTATCTTGTCCTGCGTGGACGAAGCCTTCTTCTTGGGAGGCGCCTTCTTCTTCTTGGACACTTTCTTCTTGCGGCAGAGCCATGGTTCTGTAATAAAATGTGTATTTTAGAGTAAATGCATAAATAGGCGGGGTCAGTTACACCGTTTATAATTCAAGAATGGTTGTGCCAGTTTTAATAATTACTACTTGTAACCGTAACTACGGTGTTTTTTGTATGGGGTTTGACAGATTTTAAACGTTTTTTGAACTTAAATTAAGATGGTGCAACCCAGCCTTTGTGTAACAAACGGCCGCCATTGTCTACTTTGTTTATAACTGTGTAATGTGTCCTCCTATTATGTCCAGAATATAGCCAAGTTGAACAAGCGTATCGTTTAGTTCAGCAATAATTTAACATTTCTGATTTGGATTCGTTTCGAATAATTTCGCGACTAACGCTCGGACCGCACCCCGCGCTTCCCTCGATAAAAATTGGTGGGACGCGTTTTCCCGGATGGCACTATCTTAAGTCCGGTCGCGCTCGCACACTCACTGCGGCCGCCCGTCGCACAATCGCAACAGCAATATAATTACGCGCGAGCGATAAGGATGGGTTTGGGTAGCTTGGGGTAATTGGACGAAATTGTATCTGCTCGGCGACCGGACTTTACGTACCGTCGTCGCTGTCGCTGCCGCAGCGGAAGGGGTTGGAGTCGCTCTGGTCGGAGTCGGAGCGGTCGGAGTCGGGCTCCAGCTCGGGGTCGGAGCCGGTACGTACCGTCGTCGCTGTCGCTGCCGCAGCGGAAGGGGTTGGAGTCGCTCTGGTCGGAGTCGGAGCGGCGCGCGTCGTCGGAGTCGGGCTCCAGCTCGTCGTCGGAGCCGCGCAGCCACTCGTCGTCGTCCGACGCCGGCCGCGCGCGCTTGTTGGCCGCGTTCACTTGCTGACGAGCTGTCACTGTCAAACGAACGTCGTCATTCGAAAACAATTCACAAATTCAAACAAAAACGATCAGAGACTTGTCAGAAGATGCGTCCGAAGTGCGCGCTTAACGCTTGAAGCACACCACCGCGTGCATGTCATCAACCCATCGCCGGCGCGATCATAGGGAAATGACAGGTCGCGTGAACTGTCATGGGTCGCGCGACTTGTCATTGGCTTTTGATCGCGCCGGCGATGGCGATCTGCACGCGTTGATATGGTTGAAGCTTAAGGCCTCAGCCTCGAACTTAGCGGGCAGCGGGGCGGCGGCGGCGGCGGCGCGGGAGCGGGGCGGGTAACGCAGACCCGTTCTCGAAACCAGCGGGCAGCTCGCGCGGCGCTTTAGCGGCGAAGTGTTGTGTTCGGGGTTGTGTTGTCGAGATATTTGTTTTTATTCGCAAACGAAATGTCTGAACAACGGCGACAATTTTATTTCGATTCAAATTTATTCCTAACGCTCGATTTATTGTGGGCAAAAGAAGGAGTGCGCTCCCCGCTCGATGCCCGCTCCCTCGCCGCTGCCCGCTCGTTGCCCGCTGCCGCCCCGCTGCTTCCTTCTAGGCATACTTTCTGTGGTTTCATGATTTTGAAATAAGCCACTGCATCGTAGATTCATGTTTTTGGAACATTTCAGATGATCTGCAATTTACCGGTATGGCCATCCACACTGATAAAGATTGATTATAACTTAGCGTATTGTTGCTTTTCTTTCAGCCCATTACCTTTAATAATTTGATGAGTTTTTAACTCGCAAGATAAGAATATCGCTTTTCAAATTGACGCCGAAATTACAAATGAACAGAATAAAAGTTATTACTTTTTATTTTTTTAATTTAGAAGGAAAAACTTAACCGTCCCTAATTAGGTGGCCAGACCGTCCGTACCATAATTACCGATTCATGTGATTTGATTAAGATTTTTTATTAAGTTAGTAAGTTTTTTTGTTGTTATTGTATTCTGTTAAATAGAGTACTTGATAGTCAATATGTTTACAAAGTAACAGCCAGTAATATTGAATGAAGCTCACAATAATAGGATATGAACACTTAGTATTGCTTAGTATTCTATCTGTCCCTAATTAGTTGACCACGACTGTATGTCTCTCCTTCTCCTCTCCCTCTCTAGCTCCTACAGTGGAGACTAATTAATAATCTCGTGATTATTGAGGCAGAATCATGACATGAGAGATGTATACGGATTTTGCATCAGACAAAATGCCTCTGAGTCTGACTAAATTTTTTAAATTTTTTTTTAAAGATTATTAGCAATTTGTATTGCACAAATTAGTAATAGTCCCATTAGCCCCTCGTGTTAAGCTAAATGAGCTTGTGTTACGAGTGGGCTCACCACAATAGTCGAGCGGTGGTGGGATTCGAACCCTCGTTCCTCGGATCTCGAGTCGGCCAGTCCGGCCCATTCGCCGTTCGGCTATCGTGGCTATCTATATCATATGATGATGATGATGCTTACCCAAGTAGAGCCCGTTGGTGCCCACAGGCGTGCCGGTGAGCGTGCGGCCACCAGGCGTAGCAACCGTCACTGTGCTGGGAGCAGTCGTGCTCTTACGCTCCAGCATGGTCTCCCGCTCCCGCGCCGCCGCCGCCGCCGCCCCGCTGCCCGCTAAGTTCGAGGCTGAGGCCTAAGGCCCAATTTCTACCAAGGGCAAGGCGGAGCGGAGGGGAGAAATTATTTAATGAGGGTTTTCGCGATTGAAAAATCCGCCAGATGGCAATATGTAGACGCGAGGTCCAAATGCTGCATGATTGCTTATTTTTGACATGACATTGACAGATATGTCAAAATCCACCTATCATGCAGCATTTGGACCTCCCGTCTACGTATTGCCATCTGGCGGATTTTTCAATCGCGAAAACCCTCATTCAATTAGATTTCGTTCTGCCAATGTCATTTAATCTGATTTCATTTCTCCGCTCCGCCCTGTTGAAAACCAAGCCTTAGGGCCTTTGCTAAAACTCGCGCAAGTTCCCGCATGCGTGTCACGCGGGCGTGCATTTCCGTGCGTTAATAGGTGGGCACAAGGTGGACCGACGACCTCATAAAGGTAACAGAAAGGCGATGGAAAATCATTTGGGAAGGCCTATGTTTAGCACTGGACGTCTTATGACTGAAATGATNTTAAACAAGCACTTGTCCACTATGGGACTGTCCGAAACAAGAACGTGCAGGATGTGCCAAGAGGCAGATGAAACGCCACTACACATTCTCACGGACTGCGGACCTCTGATGCGCAAGCGGAGCTTACACCTGGGCAAACACATCCTAAGCCCACAAGATGTAAAACATATCGCCCCCAAAAGATACTGCACTTCCTAATGGATGCAGGACTCGGAGGCGAACTGTAAGGAAAACAGCGGCGATCACAATAGATCGATAACGGTCGCAGTGACACTAGGACTTTATTGAACTAGAATAGCCGCTCAACACAAATAAAAAAAAAATACACTTAAACATTAGCGGAAGAATGGTAGGGCGCGTCTTCGTGGATGAAAGGTTTACATATCCCGTTACCTCGGCCANCAGCTCGACGGGCGCCTGGCCGGTGGCGTGGCGGCGCAGGAAGCGGTCCAGGAGCCAGCTGCAGGTGGCTGGTGTGTTACCTCGGAGTGCACGGTGTGCAGCTCGACGGGCGCCTGGCCGGTGGCGTGGCGGCGCAGGAAGCGCACGCAGCGCGCGCGGCGCACGCTCTCGCCCGCGCTGCCGAGGTCCAGGATGCCCAGGTCGAAGCGACCGTTGCGCTTGGCTGTGAACAATGGTTGGGAATATTATGCAATGCTCAGGGCAGAGGAAAACTAGCACAATCGTTAAACAAAGCCGCCAGTTTAGAGCCTACGCTGAAACTCTTGCACGGAACAGGTGCCCTCTATCACCGTCGGACGCGACGCCTGCGCTCTGCTGCGGACAACCGCCGCGTGCGCCCGCCTACTAGTTTAACACTGGTATCTACTCATGGCATGCGCTGCCTGCCGCTCGTATGAACCCGTCTTCCGCCTTCGCGCCACACTGCACTGCTTATACTGTTTTTCGATACAAACACGGGTGCGTGCGCCCGCGCATGTTTTAGCGTAGGCCTAAGTTACACAGTGCGGAGGGCGCCATTTTAGCACATTCAGTTTATAAAGCAGCCAATTTGAATAATAATAAGCTATGGAAACGTATCAAATTATAAGGCTATGGTATAAAACATACTCTAGTTACATAACAAGGCTAGTAGCACATAATGATACAAGATGAAACATTTCAAACCTTGCTCCATGACTGTGGTGAGCGTGTCCGTGAAATATTTGAAGAGCCTGTTCTGCAGGTCTACCGGCATTCCCAGTATCCTGTTCAGGAACTTCGACATGTTGTTGTAATCCTGAAACAAATCATTACATTTAATAATGTTCTCTGATAAGTTAGCAATATGAGCTCCTAGTAGGCCAAGCTACTTGTGAACTACTTGTGTGCTAGCTCGGGTCTAACTTGTCCAGCTGCAAGCTAGCTTGGGTTTAACTTGTCCAGCTGCAAGCTAGCTAGGGTTTAACTTGTCCAGCTGCAAGCTAGCTCGGGTTTAGCTTGTCCAGCTGCAAGCTAGCGCAGGTTTAACTTGTCCAGCTGCAAGCTAGCTCGGGTTTAGCTTGTCCAGCTGCAAGCTAGCTTGGGTTTAACTTGTCCAGCTGCAAGCTAGCTCGGGTTTAACTTGTCCAGCTGCAAGCTAGCTTGGGTTTAACTTGTCCAGCTGCAAGCTAGCTCGGGTTTAACTTGTCCAGCTGCAAGCTAGCGTGGGTTTAACTTGTCCAGCTGCAAGCTAGCTCGGGTTTAGCTTGTCCAGCTGCAAGCTAGCTCGGGTTTAACTTGTCCAGCTGTCGCGCTCGCACACTGCAGCCGCCCGTCGCACGGTGAGTGTGCGAGCGCTCGGGGTCATTGTACGAAATTCTATCTGCTCGGCGACCGGACTTTAGCTGCAAGTTATTTTTTTATCTACCTTGTCGAGCTGCAGCACGCCGGGCGCGGCCTCGCTGTTGACGATGAGCCCGACGCCGACCAGCGCCGACGCCACGTCCTGGAAGAAGTCGCCGCGGTAGTCGCGCGGCGGCGGCACGAGTGGTGTCTCGTACTTCATGATCGCTTTCATCACTGCTTCTAGCGCTGTGCGACCTGTAGGACAAAACATCATTATTGGAATGTGTTTTATAAATGGTGCGGTGTGTTATGCTTTTTCAAGCAAAATATAGACACTGCCGGACAAATCCTCCAAATATTACTATGAAGATCTGGAAAGTGGAGGAATTGGCTGTCTATATCCAGGCGTATCGTAACGAAATTTATGTTAGTACGCCGCGACCGACATAGCTCGCATAATTGCTTAAATCAAGTGGCAGTGGGCGGGGCACATAGCTCGTAGAGCTGATGGCCGTTGGGGCAGAAAAGATCTCGAGTGGCGACCACGGGCTGGAACACGTAGCGCGGGCAGGCCTCCTACTAGGTGGACCGACGATCTGGTGAAGGTCGCGGGAAGATCCTGGATGCGGGCAGCGCAGGACCGTTCATTATGGAAAACCTTGGGGGAGGCCTTTGTCCAGCAGTGGACGTCATTTGGCTGAAACGACGACGCCGCGGCCGGCGTCAGTTTGGAAGGATATCAAGCCACAAAAAATAAATGAACAGAAGATAAGCTTTTTTAGCCAGCATGCTCTAACTCGCGGCTCCGTTTCATTGGGCTCCGGTGGACACCGTCGAGTTTTATTTATTTATTTATTT